AGTTATGAATTTTATAATTTCAGTTAAAAAGCTTTCATTTTCCTGACGAGATTGTACTTCAATTTAGATTTCGGGCTGTTTTTGGTTAGTTTGAAAAATCTGAAAGCCATCATGTAGTAGCTCTAAAAAGAGGGTTTTGAGTTTACTTTTATTTGCCACTGGCCTCATAATATTTTGAGTTTTGATGAATTTGTTATGAATATTTTCGTAACAATGCGTAGTTATTTGTTTCGTTAAATAATGATATGAATGTGATTTTTGAAAGCTGTGGTTTTAAACATTAATTAGCACATTGAAGGCGTCCCACAACCAGCTAGTTTGTGCTTGCAAAGTGGTGATCAAAATTCAGGTTAGTAGAGTTAAAAGCATTTAAAAACTGCATCACAAGACCTTATATGATTATGTTCAAAGAGTATTCATGATTAATTATTTTGAAAGATATTATGATATTTGCTTATTATGTTTTTATGCTTTAAAAGATTTTATGGTATGGTATATGGATGAGAGGCTGGGGAAGCAAGTGTGCGAGGGACCGGTGCCCCAAATTAGAGAAACTGTCTCTTTGAGACAACTAGAGAAAAATGCTAGTGAGAAGTCTCTTGTTGATCACAAGAGAAAGAGATTCTAAAAACCCCACTTAGTGTTGAAGAGAAGAGAATTGGCCAAAAGTAGAGAAGGTCCTGTATAGAGAGGCTTACTTAGAACCGAAGTTCTGTATCATATCTAAATTAAGAATAAATATGAAAGTTTATGAACAATGTTTAACAAAGAGATTTTAGCCACGGAGATTTTAGATATTTACTTTATTTGAAATCTACTTACTGAGTTTTTGCTCATTAGTTTTACCTTGTGATGCAGATGATGTTGTTGTTACCGAAAAGTAAAAGAAAAAAGAAAAATGATTTTCAAGGTTGGTTGAGTACTCCAAGTCCTACATCTGGCATCTTGCTCATATGTACTTCCAAACAATAGATATGCTCAAAATGTTTTTTTTTTTGTTATCGCTTTTGAATAATTGTTTAATGTCTAAGATTTGTGATTGTAATCATTTTACGCACTGACTCATTTTGTTCAAAAACTTTTAAGAAAATTTTGTGATGATATCAACCACAAGTTTCTGCATCTTATAAATGACATTGTTTTAAGTATAGAAAGTATGTTTTAAGTAGCACCACCTCGCTAAATTCGGCCTTAGACTGGTTTAGTGATGGGGGCGTTACAAGGATGCTACGAGTGTCTATTTGATACTTTTTTAACAAAGTAGCTCCTCCTTTTATCCTTTATGCAACTTGATTAATCCGCATCGAGAGATCCAACTACAACAAAAGTGTTAGTTCATCGATACACAACTATCTAGTACTTCATTCCCAGTTAATTTAGTAATAATAACAACAATCACTCAAATACCGAATCTGCACGTCAACAACAAACGCAATAATAAGACATGTGCATACTTAAGCATACATCAGGCTGCTAAACATGTAAGCATAAGGGACAATTTTATATGATCTCTCTTACTTCACCATAAGGACATTACACCTTTATGAGTTTGTCACTTTAATAAACAATGCTTACTAGGAGAACAAGAATGCATACTGAACCTGTTCAAAACAAGAACAATATGGGTTCTCTGAGACGACTAGAAAATGCATTTATCCTTGTCACGGAGAGTCTACATGCCTAGAACATAAGAGGTTTTTTTAAGATTCTCAAATCAAAGTGACTAGGTGACAAGCTATTCGTCTTAACCAGTAGGTCAGAATCATTAGGCGCGAGCAAGTTGTCACCGATATAAAAAATAGAAACATGCAACTGCTCCCACTGACCTTACACCTATGCATTTATCAACAACGCTCTCCATAAAGCTAATTTTAGTGACTGTCTCATCTTAAAATTGAGACGCTACTGCCTCGGTGCTATCCATATACTCCCACTCTTCATAGATTTTCTCAACACAATAGTGGAGTTAAGAAATACATCCACTCTCAAGGCTATGTCCATTTCATCATCAACAACATAATCACGAGAGATCCATACAATATCTAATGACTTGTCTCATTTAGTGTCAAGACTGTGGAGATGCAGGATTGCTCAAGGCTAAAGAAAACAACATGGATCACCAACAATAGGCATGTTAAACAAGATCGCGCAATTTGCCCTTTACTTAGCCTTCTCAATGATCCAAACCAATATGATCATTGTGTGCTAGAGTCGGTTGAGCAAGAATAAAACTCTTTCGTAGGTAAGGACAATGCATCAAACATCACAACCAAATGCATCACTCCAACACTGACAAAGTAGTAAAGATTATGCGGTTCATGACATCCAACAAACTTCCTTCATCGGTCTAAGCATCCTACTAAAAAATTAATTATTGATATGATAATTTAATTACCCGTATGGATCTTAGCAAAATGGTAAATACATATCTTTATCTTTCACACTCCAATATATTATTTGACCATAATATGAGTTTAGTGATTATAGAAGTCCATATATAATTATTTCTAATATTATCTCACTTGAACTGCATAATCAAAAAACATGATACTCTTATAACCAAAAAAAAGTCAAATAATAATACGAATAGCCGAGACATGGATAAAGATAATAAGCTTAAGCTCCAACCAGACACAAGTGTTCTACCAAGCAATAAAACTGTCGATAGGATAATTATATTACCTGTATGGACTTTCGGAACATAATCAACAAATTAAGTTTATCCATATAATCTCGTAACTTATTATTTGATAATAGTATATGAGTCAGTGATTATGCTAATCCACAAAAAGATGTTTTAAATTTTCTCCCACTTGGATAGCATAATAAAAAAACATGATACTCACATAAAACAAGATATCAAATAATAATGATAGCAATAATAAATAAATTATGGATAAACTTATAGTTTAAGCTTTAAAATAACACATGAGCTTCTAATAAAATTTTCATTCTCACTTTTACACAAAAGAGACTATGTATGCCTATACAAAAACTAGGCATTAAAACATTAACATAAGATGGGCATTTCAAAAAAAAAAAAAATTGAACAAACATCCATATTATAAGTCTAAATTTTATTTACCAAAATATCAAATTATGTGGGAGAACAAATAAAATATGACCATATAATATGGAGTAACAAATAAAATATGAACAAATAAAACATGCCCCAAAATGTTAGGTCTCAAAATAGTGAGAATTAAAACTACCCAGAAAATATATGAAAATTATTACAATAAACAAATATTTAAATAAAATATTTTCTAGTAGCTCATGTACATCCATGTAAGGATTGTGTGTATCTCAATGCCTTTTTCAAAAGGAAATGTTAAATTTTGTGAGAGAGTCTGTAACATACGCAGATAATTTGACATCTTTAGACTCACGACAGGTGAGGACATAAACATTCACTATTGTCAAATTCTGACCATTAAAATTTACTGTGCCGTACAAAATCAAACAATACAATTAAAACTTTATGGCATTTAATCATCAAACAAATTATATGCAAAATGCTAAAGAAAAATTTGTTTAAAAATTGTGAGATAATAATAGCCACCCATAAAAATATACAATTAATAATATAAAAATATTAAAAACATGATTTTATGGTGGCCCAAACCCAAAATGAATCATTTAAATGTGTAGGAAATGAAAAACGAGCGCAACGGCGAAAATGGTGGTCAAAATGGACTTCGGATGTGACCGTACGGACCAATGAAAACTTTTTTTTTTGGTGCCCATAACGACATGTCGTTTTGGGCTTACTGAAAATGACATGTAGTTTTGCCAATACAACAGCCACACGTCCTTCAAACGACATGTCATTTTTCTCAAGGATGAAAAAGGACACGTCGTTTGGAGCTTCCCTGTCCTCTGAAATTGTTGAAATGGATCCGTGACCCGGCCCGTCAGAAAGTTGAGCTCCAGTGGTCCATTTTTGACGTTTTTAAAGGGGTTTTGCTCCAAATTTCATTCTCTTTAGTTTTCAAACATCAATTTCACTCAATAATCTACAGAAAACAAAACCCCCAATGGAGGACACAAACAACAAATCAAAAAAAAAAAAAAAAACTACAACCTCAAATCCAATAAGATAGGCTCTGATATCATTTGTTAGAAATAAGTGGGTTCTCAATACTCATAAAAGAGATTAGAACAACAATACCATTGAACCCAAAAATAAAACTATTAAATTGGATTTTGAAGCATATAGAAAATTAATGGTTTTAGGATTACCTCATCCACTGCGTAAGAACGGTGTCGTTCATGGTGGCCGGAATCCGTTCTTGATCGGCCATAGTTGAAGCTTCAATGATCTGATAAAATCAAGGGACTTGGAGGGTTTTTAACTCCTCTCTCCTCTGCCTCTCTCAACTCCCACAGGCACACACACATACACGGCGGGGCGCTCAAAATTTCTGCCCCTCTGGTTTTGTTTTTGCCACATTAAGCAATGGGTCTTAACCAAAAAACTTGGGAGGAGAGAAAATTTGGCCCAATAAGCTGATTAAATATACAGAGAGAGTGAGTCTAAGGGTCCCAAGTACATTAGTAATTAAATTGTACATTCTATTATGGCCCTTATTATAATACCATGTGTAAATCATATTACAATATAATTGTCCATAAAACTATGCTCTAATTTGTAGCATATTTGAGTGAATTAATAATGATTTGTACTAGTCCATAAAAATATTCCAACAGTTGTTGCCATTGCGCCAGATAACTGAAGACTCTCAGCAAGATATTGAAAAGCAGGTTAACGATTTAGTTGCCAATGGTAACACAAACATCACCGACGGGCTGAAAACGGCCTTAAGAGTACTGAATGACCGCCATGTTAAAGATGGCCGTGTCGGTGCCATCTTGCTTATGTCTGGCGGTGCCGAAAACAGGGGTAAGGCTGCCGAGGTTGACGTTGGAAACGTGCCTGTACACACATTCAATTTTAGCGCGGAATGTGAACCAAGCGTATGTCCCTTAAGTAATACTTGTTAAAGCAAAAGCTGTATGAATAACTTTACCAATTAATTCATGAGTACGTCCTAAATCATTCAATCGAAATGTAATATAGGTGCTACAAGAGATTGCAAAGAAAAGCAATGGAGGCACATTCTCAGATGTTCTAAACCATAGCAACTTGAGCGCCGCATTTTCCTAATGTTTGGCTGGTCTTCTCGGCGTGGTTGTTCAGGACGTGAAGCTGACCGTCAAACAATTCGATGGAGATTTGAAAATCATGAATGTATATGCAGGAGACTATCCACAATCCAGTAACAAGGACTCTTCTGTAACTATATCTTTAGGCGATCTCTACAAAAAAGAGGTACGCAAGGTCATTGTGGATCTTTTTCTTCCAAAAGTTGATAGTCAGACGAGCCCGGATGTTATCAAAGTAAGTTACACATACAGGTGAGTGTGTGGTACCAAATAAATTAGTCCCAGCAAGCATTTACATTTAATTATTATTATATATTATGATCTGATATATATGTATATAATGGATGCGGATGCAGTGATGTGGGGAAACGGCTGTATGAAGCAAATCCAATAAAAGCTACCGTAACCCGCATCGACACCCCCCCAAGGAAAGAAAAAGAGAGGGAGAACCGTGTCAAGAGTGCAAAGATGGTCAACGACGGCAAGGAAGCCAACTACAAGATGGTTGAAACCAAAAACTTGGCTAACCCGTTGCCAATTGAGATAATGAAATTTGCGACGCAACTGCTCTTCAAGCGTTTCGCTGATCTCCAATCGGCTGGGAGTAGTTTAAGATTTGACATGATCAACAGAAAACAAGTTGGGCGTGATCCTTTTGCGCTATCTACATTCAGATCACCCTTCATGAATCACGAGGCTCTCAAATCCAATGACAACATAATCACTAGTAGCCGTTGAATGCTGCAATGCGTGATTTAATTTTAATTTGCAATATTTTACTTTTGCACTAGTTGAATAAATAAATCAAGCCGCCGTATGTCTATCTGTTACTATATACACACACACACACACACACACACACACACACACATATATATCGGCAAGCATGCATGCATGTATGTTTGCATGGCTGCGTTGCATTGTATGGTTTCATGCTTTTTTTTTTTGAATTATATTCAGATTTCAATTTCAATCGGACAACAACCCGTGTGGATAAATTCCTCCCCTTAAAACCATACTTGTGAGTTTCCGATCTCACACGGCTTAGCAGTCAAGTTCTCAAATTCTTTTGGTGCCTTTTTCTAATCTACCCAATAGGAATTGATTCAGAAATTACTTGACGGCACCAACTAATGTGGGAGGCTTAGTATTAGAAACCCACAGTTAAAAGCCGTACTCAAAAAAGTCTCTGATCCCGAGCGATGATGAGGGGAGAACGTCAAGGTGCGAATCGGCAGTTTATTTCGAGACCAGTAGAAGAACTAGCAATAAATGCAGACTTCGCTGGCTCCGCACCTTTAGCTAAATACCCCCATTGTGAATATATTATAATAAATGCTAGATTGTACTTTTACATATATGGATAGCCTATTCAAATTACCATATATATCGCAACAACATATAACGGAAAACAAGAAAAATATGAAAAATCTGTCTAGGGCCTTCAAACAAAAAATTATAGGGTAATCTTCAGAAGTACGAAAACTCACCCCTTTTTCTGTCTCTGAGAATCACAATACTCGGGAAAGTTACATTTGCAAGGTGTTGTTCGAACCTGAAAAACATAAAGATAGTTTGATTTTTAAAAGTACCGACCTTGTCAAATAGAAGATAACTATAGAACCTACATAATTGATTGCGTAGAGGGATAGTAGAGCAACATTTTTCAGAGTACAAGTTTTTCCTTCAAAATCATCTATCATATCACATATTTGTTGACAAATGATATAAGAGTAACGCTAGATCAACAGGAAACCAAGCAGCGAAGAACTTAAAAACCAGACCTTACGAAATGTGAAAGACACTCTCCTTGATCCTCTTCTGATCACAGTGTCGTTCACCATATCAATCTTATGGTGTGGTATGTAGTGATTCCATGCGTGGCGTGCCTCTCCAGATAACAATAGCATAGATCGCGGAGGAAGATGGATCGCCTTTCTAAGAAAATTGGAGTTGTTTTCAGGATTTTCTGTTGTCGTATCAGTACTAAGTGTAGCTTTAGTATGCCGCCAATCACCATCAATGTATCTCCTGAACTCCATGATGCAAGGTCCTGCTAGTGAAAGGCTGAAAATTAACCCCTCAAAAGCAGAATGGGTATCTATATGTGGGGACAAACCTACACCTGGTGGATACTCGTTAACCTATAAGACAGAAACAATCATCGCTTCTTAAAGCATAGCCTAGCAGTAATTCAACACTAACACATACAGCTTTTCTCTCCTTCATAGTTAAAAACAGCAAAGGAACATTATTTTAAGGTTAATTTCACAAATGACATATGAGGTTTACACTCAATCCAACTTTGTTCCCTGACTTTTTAAATGTCCCACAAATGGTTCCTGCGATTTTATTTTGTTTCAGTTGCGGTCCTTCCAATAACTAGGCGTTAAAATTTGTTGGAATGTGTATAAATTAGGGACCAAAACTAGAAAAAGCTAATTTGAAACCATCTTTTGTTTTTTTTTTCTTTTGTATTGTTTTAGTCCCAAAACTTTATATGTTTCCAATTTTAGTCCCTAATTTTCGCATATTCCGTCAAATATTTACACCAAGATAACAGAATGACCGATACTGAAACAAAATAAAACCTCAAGGACTAACTATGAGACATTTGAAAAGTCAGGAAATACAATGGGATCGAGTGTAAACCTCAGAGATCATTCGTGAGATTAACCCTTATTTTAAAGATAGGTTTTTTGCTGGGGCGGAACATATAATCTAAAAAAACAAAAGAAAAACATAACTTCATACCGTCAATTGGTCCAACGCTACATCTGCAGTTATTTCATAAAGCTTTTTGAACATGGACATTTTCTCCAGTACAGGAGAAACAAATGAGGGAAGTTCACCTAACTGCTGTTTTGAATTGACATTCCTTGTCTGTTACAAACAGATTGAACAATTCAAAAGAGGAAGATACCAAAATGCTTGAAAATTTCAAAATGGAGAATTCATGTAAGGTAAAGCAGAGGCTGAGAAATAATAATTAAATGCAAAGAACAAGACGTCATTTTAGATTAGGAGAAATAGAAGAGGCAAAAATTGTTTTTTTCCGCATTTTAGACATAATTAAACAGCGGTCAGAAATCACATTGTCCCAGTTTCCTCCTTGCTGGAACATTTTATACGAGAAATATGGGTACTCCGTACTCCCAAAACTTTCTTTTTGGCTCAGTGACTGATATTGTGTTTCCAAACATACATTAACTTGTTATTTACTATTAATACTTTTCTAAGAACAGAATAGTAAAATTGATAAAGAGGTTAGTTTTAAGACTGGATAGAGACTAATATTTCCTCACCTGATAGCAAAATTCATAACCATAATGTTGGACCCTTCTTTTCGCTAGATGTTTCCAAGGTCTTTCATCAACCGCTGCAAGCAACTCCTAACAAGTCCAAAAGTAAGAATGACATCTACATACATACATTATGCGTGTGAATGAAATTTTGGCAGAAGAGAAATGACAAAGAGACCTATGGACCTGCTCTTCTTGAAGGCTGACAAAATCATGCACCAAGTAAAGCCCAGGAATGTTCAACTCCAAAGCGTTCAAAGACACCGGAACAACATTATTCGGCTCTCTCTAGAAGCACAGGGACATTCTTTCTTTAATAACATAAACAAGGATGAAAATGTGACTGATATTTTTACAAGGGGTGACTGTGAGTACCACCTGGAGAGGAGGTTGGACAAGGGAATAACGAATGTGCAAAGTGCGGCCATGGAGGTTGGGACAAGGGCGAGCGTTGAGTGCTTGGAAAGCAGCTTGAGCGGAGGAGTGATGGGAAAAGCAAACAACAACATGGACGCCAGAGTCGTCGGCTGAATAGACACCCTCGACATCTCCAAATGCACCAAACACCTCTTTGATGTCTGCAAACGAAACTCCTACTGCCGGCCCACAGTTGGCAACATACAGATTCCCGCTAACCTCGCCCTTTGCCGGCCTGAATCTCGCCGGTGGTTGAGGTGGTGTTGGTGAACCCGCCATCAGTCCTAATGTACTATTTCAATATGAACGTTCCAAACTCTCAAACTTCAATTATTGGACTTGATGTTACTAAAGTAAATGACACTAATTTCCTTTGACAAAAATCACAGAAATACTTTTTAAACAACGAATTCAGGTCATTACATAATCTTGAAACACAAAAGTTGAATGAAAAAAGCATATAAAAATACATCAAATGACATCCTCGAAAACTTTAGATTTATTTAGATTAAATTGCAAGGATTACATCGATTGTATATGAATGACACCAGATATACAATTCTTTCTGCCAATAGTTTCTATCACCAGAATTTTATAATTTTTCAACTATAACGCAACACATACGAAAACCCAAAAAATAAAAATAAAAAATAAAGATAAAATCTTCCAATCCCCTAAACGAAAATGAATGACTTCAAGCGTCAAAAACCATTGTCTACAAACCCAACAAAATTCGATCATGCAATTAACAAAACTAAACCCAAAAGGATACCTTTTTTTCTTAGAAAGCGATCGGGAGAAAAAAAGAAAAAGAAATAAAAAGACAACAAAGAAAGAGGCATGGAAATGCATGAACAGGGGATGAATACGATCTAAGCAGATGACCCTCGTCGGCCTCCGCCGCGTGAAACCCAGACCTCGCCGGCCTTCGTCGCCAGCATCAAATGGCCAACCCACTGGCCATCAACGTCCCACAACCAGCCCAGCCTCGTCACGCAGCCCAGCCGCCTTCGCAAAACCCAGGACCTCGTCGCGTCGGCCTCCGTCGGAAACCCAGGACCTCGTCGCGTCGGCCTCCGTCGCGAAACCCAGGACCTCGTCGCGTCGGCCTCCGTCACGAAACCCAGGACCTCACCGTCTCGAGGACGAGAGATACAAATTTTTTATTAATTTTAAAATGATTAGTTTAACGATGGATTTCTTTAAAGGAATTTAATGGTGGATTTGGTTTAATAATGGTTTTTTTAAAAAGAAATTAAATGATGGATTAGGTTTAAGTTTATTTTAAAGAAATTTTTTAAAAGAAATTTAATGAAATTTTGTGATGGATTAGGTTTAATGATGGATTTTTTTTTTTAAGAAATATTATGATGGATTAAATTTATGTAGAAAATGTATGGATTTATGTATTAAATCTACTCTGAATGTATATAGTTACTGAGATTAAAAATTAAGGCATCGTTCATTTCACCAATTCGAGTTTTCAATTTTAGGTTTTTACAGTAAAAAGCTCTCAGAAAATATCACATCTAACTTTTTTTGCTACAGTGAAAAATTCTCACAAAATGTCATATCTCAGCTCGAATTGAAAACTCGAATCCGCGAAGTGTAAGAGCTTAATGTATATTTTCTAAACATACCTAAAACATAAGGTATAAAAATGTAAGAGCTTGTTCTTTTAGAATAAAACTAAAAAAAAAAATAGAACTCAAGTTATAACTTTTTTTTTAAGTTCATGTTCGTTTGTAAAATTTGAGTTTTAACTTGAGTCTGAGCCTAAAATCTGAGTTTAAGTTTCTCCTTCAACTCAAGTTCTTAAACTCAAACTCAAGTTGATAAACAGTATTTTTGTTATTCTTAAAAACATCATAACTTTTTCATTTTAATTCCGATTGAGATGATTTTTTTTCTATACGTTCACAACAAAGAGAACAAGTTAACTCGAGTTTAACTAAAACTCAAGTTTAACTTGAGTTTTAGCTTGAGTTTGAGGCTAAAATCTGAGTATAAATTTATCCTTCAACTCAAATTTTTAAACTCAAACTCAAGTTAATGAACATTATTTTTTTTATTCTTAAAAATATCATAACTTTTTCATTTTAATTTTGATTGAGATGATTTTTCATTTTATGTATTAAATCTAATCTGAATGTATATAGTTACTGAGATTAAAAACGAAATGTATATTTTCTAAACATACCTAAAACATAAGGTATAAAAATGTAAGAGCTTGTTCTTTTGGACTAAAACTCAAAAAAAGTTTGAACTCAAGTTATAACTTTTTTTTAAGTTCATGTTCGTTTGTAAAATTTGAGTTTGAACTCGAGTTTTAACTTGAGTTTAAGGCTAAAATATGAGCTAAGTTTATCCTACAACTCAAGTTCTTAAACTCAAACTCAAGTTAATGAACAATACTTTTTTTATTCTTAAAAACATCATAACTTTTTCATTATAATTCCGATTGAAATGATTTTTTGTCTATACGTTCACAACAAAGAGACGAATAAAACATCACATATATACCCTATTAAAAATTTTCATCACCATTGAGTTTTTATTAAAATACTATCTAAATACAAATTCAAGTTTTGACTCACTCAAACACAAACTCAAATAGATTCTCAATTGAAATCATAACTCAAATGTGTACATCTAAACATCTCAAGTTACAATTTCAACTCAAATTATAACTCAAATTTAATTTAAGATCTATACTCAAATCACTATAACTCAAAAATATAACTGAACAAACCCTAAATAACCCAATATAATAACAACCACAAATTGAAACCATAACGGTGCATACAGAATCTTTAGAAGTAACAAAAACTCGCCCTTTTCTCTGTCTCTGAGAATCACAATACCCGAGAAAGTTACATTTGTAAGGTGTTGTTCTAACTTGAAAAACGTAAAGATAGTTTCATTTATAAAAGTACAGTCCTTCTCAAATAGAAGATAAATATAGCAACTACATAATTGACTGCATATAGAGAAATAATAAAGGTCAGGCATGAATTCACTACAGATAATCAGCAAAAAGTGATAGTAGATCAATATTTTTCAAAGTACAAGTTTTTCCTTTAAATCATCTATCATATCACATATTTGTTGACAAATGATATAAGAGTGACGCTAGATCAACAGGAAAACAAGCAGCGAAGAACTTAAAAACTAGACCTTACAAAACGTGAAAGACACTCTCCTTGATCCTCTTCTAATCACAGTGTCGTTCACCATATCAATCTTATGGTGTGGTATGTAGTGATTCCACGCGTGGCGTGCCTCTCCAGATAACAATAGCATAGATCGCGAAGGAAGATGGATCGCCTTTCTAAGGAAATTGGAGTTATTTTCAGGATTTTCTGTTGTCGTATCAGTACTAAGTGTAACTTTAGTATGCCGCCAATCACCATCAACGTATCTCCTGAACTCCATGATGCAAGGTCCAGCGAGTGAAAGGCTAAAAATTAACCCCTCAAAAGCAGAATGGGTATCTATATGAGGGGACAAACCTACACCTGGTGGATACTCGTTAACCTGTAAGAAAGAAACAATCATCACTTCTTAAAGCATAGCCCAGCAGTAATTCAACACTAACACATACAGCTTTTCTCTCCTTCATAGTTAAAAACAGCAAAGGAAAATTATTTTAAGTTTAATTTCACAAATGGCCTCTGAGGTTTACACTCAATCCACTTTGGTCCCTGACTTTTTAAATGTCCCACAGATGGTTCCTGAGATTTTATTTTGTTCCAGTTTCGGTCTTTCCAGCAACTAGGCGTTAAATGCGGGGACAAACCCACACCAGGTGGATACTCGTTAACCTATCATCGCTCTTAAAACATAGCCTAGCAGTAATTTAACACTAACCCGTGCAACTTTTCTCTCCTTCATAGTTAAAAACAGCAAAGGAACATTATTTAAAGGTTAATTTATGGTCTCTCAGGTTTACACTCAATCCTACTTTGGTTCTTAACTTTTCAAATGTCCCATAGATAGTTTCTGAGGTTTTATTTTGTCTCAATTTTAGTGCTACCATTAACTATACGTTAAAATTTGTTAGAATATGTGTAAATTAGAGACCAAAATTAGAAACAACTAATTTTAGTACTATTTGTGAAAATCATCTTTTGTTTTTTTTTCTTGTCTATTGTTTTAGTCCGTAAACTTTATATGTTTTCAATTTTAGTCTCTAATTTTTGCATATTCCGTCAAATATTTACGCCAAGTTAATAGAATAACCGAAATTAAAACAAAATAAAACCTCAGAGACCAACTGTGAGACATTTGAAATATCTAGAAATAAAGTGTGATCGAGTGTAAACTTCACAAACCATTTGTGGGATTAACTCTTATTTTAAAGATATGTTTTTTGCTGGGGCAGAACATATAGTCTAAAAAAACAACAGAAAAACGTAACTTCATACCTTAAAAAAATTAAAAATATAAAAAATAAAATAAAATAAAATCTTCCGGTCCCTAAAAGAGTAATGAGCTATAAGAACATAAGAAATGAGTAGTCAGAAATAAAATTGATTCAAGTTGATATGAAATTATAGAGAAACGAATATTTTGTGTCCTCTGAAGGGAAGCTGGTTGTACTAAAGACGTAGGGTTGTTCTGAGCTGAAATCGACAAAAATCTGATCGGTGTTTTTAAAAAAAAAAAAATGATAGGCCTTTTTTTCAGGGGAAATAGTCTTCTCATGATTTTATTTCGTTAAGTAATCTGCTATTACTCTCCACGATCTTACTTTTCCTACCTGTATGATTTTTAGCACATTTACCTTTTAAATTTATCAAGATTTAGCAACTTACATCTTAGATTTTTAATTTTAAAAATTAACCTCTAAATTTGTTTAACTGTTGGGAAAAACTGTTACAAAACTGCATTTTCAGAAAACAGCTTATGTAAAAGTGTGAACTTGCTTAAGTGTGAAAATATTTTAAGAAAAAGTATTTTTTTATATGAATTCTAATGTTTTATTTAAGGGCATTTTTAGAAATTCAATTGCATGTACATATGAATTTACACCTAAATGCCGTATTTGTTTTTTGTTTTTTTCCCCCCAAATCTTGGCCTATATTTCTCTTTTATTTTGATTTATTTCTCTCATTATCCCTAAAAAATATATCATTCCGCTCTTGTTAAAACCTTAAACAAATGAATAGTTCACACTCAATATAACTAGTGGCTAGTGCTCTAAAAATTTGTTAGGATGTGTTTGTTTCTGAAAAATTTTAGAAGTTATTTAACAATTTCAATATCAAGAACTAAAATCCTTAAAAAAATCAATGTTTGCAAATCATCTACAAAGCAAAAATTGTTCCAAGTATAAAATACACAATGCTCCTAATTTAGTGATTATGAAAATCCTTTATGTTATTTGATAAGAGGGAAGGATAGTTTAATAATAGTTAATTATTAATTACTATAATGTACATTTGTACAATTTATCAATAATTTTTGTAAAGGATCAAATAGTCTTCTAAAGATTAAAATTTATGTATTGCTCAAATCCATTTAATGGAATGATACAATTTGATGTATTAAGAGGGAGAATACATCCCTACTTTTTCTCTCATTCCTTTCATCTGTCCAACAAAATAATTGATTAGGTCTTTCCTTCTCTCCATCTCTCTCCAACCAAACATACTCAAAATGTTTATTACCCTCACATATTAAAAATGAAAAAAAAAATAAAAGATAAGCAAAACAAGCCATGAATTCAAATATCACCGTCTGTTTATCCAAACCAAAATGAAAAGAAAAAATGGAGAAATTTATTATTGAGAGTACATGATTTTAGTCCTTTACCCCTTATTCTTGATAAATACCCTTTTATTAGTGTAATTATTTAACTAAAAAGGTTATAAATTAATAATAAAGAGTAAAAATTCTACCCATGCACTTTTAAGAGATATTTGTCAAGATTATCTAAATGAAAAGCAAAACACATCGTTAGACTCAGACTTCAACTATAAGCAAATGAATGGATCTTTCCACTCTACTAGCCCCAAAATAATGCGAGCAAAGATAAGTACGTGAATTTGTTTTACTCAATCCTTTTTTATCAATTCATTTAGATATTTACTTGACACCATGTTTATCCATGAAATATTGCATCTTTCTGTTTAACCAGAAGAATTTTGTGTTCAATATAAAAAAAAAAAAAAAGAAGATGAAAACAGAGTTGCAATTGCAAATTCATAAACATAAACTTTCTACTATTATTCCAATAAAGGAAAATTACATACTTTATATAATAATCAAACAAAGAGTGTCATCTGATTAACAATACAAACACAAAGTTAAAGCATACACGTTAGAGACATGAGACATAATTAGATCATACACCCGTATAGATGTAGATATTGAAAAGAAGGTTTGCTCTCACAAACACAAAAGGAACATTTTTTTTTTTTTCTTTTTTGGCTTTTAACAAAAGGAACATATTTGAAACAAAGCCAAAACCTAAAGCCCTTAGAACGCCGACAAATTGTCCACATCCTCATATAGAGACGCCAAGTTATCCTTACTTGGATTCCTAGCAGAGCAATTGGCACGTATCTCACCTTGGCTGCCTGTCAAGACACTTAATTGGCCCATTTTGGTCATGGCGATGATGAATTTTTCGAAGAAGAGTGATTGATTAACGGCGAAGTTGATGACAATGTCCTTGGTCTTACTGTAGCTGTACAAATCCTGATCAGATGTGAAGAGTCCTTGGCGGTTCATGAGGTTGACATAGTACTTGTTGTCAAAGGCATTAGGGCTTCGAATATCGAGCACAGTAGTGGCAACCGTGTTGTTCGTAGGGCAAATCGCCTTTAGGTTTTTGGCAAAAGTCTGGTCCATGACAGGGTCTTGGGTGGGATAGAGGCGGTTGTTAAAGGAGGAGCAATTGCTGAGGCCAATGGTGTGGCCGCCTGAAAGGGCAACCGCGTCGGTGGCATCTAGGTTTTTCGTTGCAAGAAAGGCGACGATAGTGCTAGCGTTGCTTGCTGATGAAGGAAGGTTGGCTATAGTTACTGCTCTTGTCGCAAATGTCAACCCGTCTCTTCTTCCTAATGGTACTGCATAGTCAGGACCACCTGACTGCATTACAATTATATTATATAAGTATAAACATGTTATCATATAACAGTATGTGATTTAAATAAGATTTATTAAATATATTTCACGCCATAATACCAAGAAAATTACTAAATTAACCGATATGTATAATTTTGTGTCATGATGTTTGGCATTAATCATGTGTCAATTATAAGAAGATTGTGCTTATTCGTCCACAAAAGAAATAGGGAAAATATATTTCCTGGAAAATGCACATGCCCTAAATGATTGTCTAATATCAAAGTGGTGTTAATCTATGCATGAATCAAGCAATTCTATTTTTTGTCTGCGGTGTCAATTAACGACTATTTTTATTTCTTTAGTTACAGTTTATTACAGAATTCATCCCTATTTTGGGTGTATGTGTGTGATGTATGGATTTAAGCTGCTAGACAATTAATAATTACTATTGTTGGGTTATGTGCTTGAAATTTATTTATTTTCTTAATATTGTTTAAAAAAGTTTATATATTGGCAGTGTTAGTTTATGTTTAAGCAGTAATTCTTAAATATGTAGCATCACTCGTCATGTTGAGCATTAGACTAGTTACTAATTTTGGGTATTGTAAAATTTATTTTTAAGAGTGTACGAGTTTAGATTTATATCTCTCATTCTTAATATTTTTTATTAATATAGTTATTTAATTAGAAAAAGTATTAATTAAAAATAAAGAATACTTGAAATTTATTTATTTTCTTAATATTGTTTAAAAAAGTTTATATATTGGCAGTGTTAGTTTATGTTTAAGCAGTAATTCTTAAATATGTAGCATCACTCGTCATGTTGAGCATTAGACTAGTTACTAATTTTGGGTATTGTAAAATTTATTTTTAAGAGTGTACGAGTTTAGATTTATATTTCTCATTCTTGATTAATATTTTTTATTAATATAGTTATTTAATTAGAAAAAGTATTAATTAAAAGTAAAGAATAAAAATTCTAATTCATACAAATTTAAAAGGTACTTATCTCATTTACCCTTATTTTTTACTTACCTAAATTTTCACTTATTATCAGTTTCGGCATATGACAAACAAACTATAATCTATATCCACAAAAAGAGAAAAAATAAGATGAAAAAAAAAAAAAGATATTGAATATTTTACTAGCTAGCGTAAACTAATTCATTATCCACGAGCTATTCAAATGTCTAGAATACAAAACGCACATATTTATATAAACAGTGCCTCCGGCTTTATTTAAATATTTAACGGAATTAATTGGCTGGAAAGTGAAAGCCATTGAAAGCCAGAACATTCCCTTTTGGGAAAAAATTAATTTATACTCTAAGGTGAAATTAATTTTTAATTTCTCAATCAGAGCTAACAGAAAGAGACTGATCCTAAAATGTCCCTACAAGTAAAGCAAGAATTAAACAAAAAGATGAAAGTGTGTAAAAAAGTATTACCAAGAAAACAGAATCACGTGCTGCAATAGCAGCGATATCAGAACAAGAGACGACTCGACCGCACTTCTTATGAACTCTGGCGCGTAGATCATTTATTATCTCAAAAGCCTTCGCTCTTAAACTCAGGTTCGGAGGCGCGTTCTTCTCATCCGGCCCACTCGCCGACCCGTCCAACAACACTGACCCATCACAACCCTGCACAAATTATATATTTTAGTATACTATTAATTAAGTAGTTTGTATATTTATTATTTATACAAATGAAATGATATGAGTTATGATCAATAACTTTATCCCCAGTACTCTCTTCAACGCTCTCATTAAAACTTCACCAATAAAAAATAAATACATAATCTCCTCAACGCTCTCATTAAAACTTCACCAATAAAAAATAAATACATAAATAACAACTTATGAGTTGGTACAAAAGTTGCCTAACATTATTCATCGAAAATAGAAATATCAAGATTTAGCAGTCAGAATAATCTCTTTAATCAACATGATCAGTTTCCTTGAGTACTAATGTCATTGATATATAGCTTTACTGTTAATTCAAAAGATTAATGTACTAAAAAATGAATAAATTTAGTAGTAATAATTAGAAAAATAAGTAATGAATATTTAGTATTATTTACCTGAACAAAGCAGTCATGGAAATGGAGACGAAGCAAGCCAGCAGCTTGGCCAATGTCCTCGTTAAAAACCTTCTTGAGTTGAGTTCTTATGATGGACTCAGCATCTGGACAGCTCTTGTCATAGAAGCTCCAAGACAGTCCTTCTGCAAGAGGCACATCTGATGATTTATGTGCATAAACGACACAACTTACACAGATCATCATCATCATCGTCATCACAACAACAACGTTATCTGTAGCCATATTGCCTTTTGGTTTTGGTTTTGGTTTCTCTAAAGCAATTTTTCAATCTGTTTAAGGTTTTCTTTTGGTGAGACGACACAAGTCTTCGTTTTATATAGGCAGTGTGAAGTCATAAATGGGGGACCAAGTCTTCGTTATCTTTTTAATACGAGCTTTCTACAGTAGGATAGGGGAAGGAAAAAAAAAACACGACAGTGTAAAGTCATAAATGGGGGCCAACTCTTCCTTATCTTTAGAACTAGTTTGGTAGTGCCGTACACTTTAAACGTTAGTTGTGTTAAGAAAATAGCTATTATAAAAAACAGTTAAGTGTTTAGTAAATTATAACTATACAAGTATTAATTTTAGAGATATTATAGATATTATGAAAATTTTATTAATTATATTATAAGGTGATTGTCGTATAATCTAAAAATGAAAGTTATTTTTAAACTTCTTTTTATTTTGACCGTAAATTTTTAAAAAATTATTTAAGAATTACTTCTTATGATTTTTATCAAACATAAATTTTAACATGGTTAAAAAATTAATTTTGAGCTTTAAAAATCATTACTAAACATTCTTTTAATACGAGATTTATAGAGTAAAGTAGGAGAAGGGAAAAAAAATCATAAGACCGCGATCATTTCGTGGGCTCTCAGTTATAAATTTCACTTTCTACTTTGCATCAAATTTGATTAATTTTACATTTTTATGTGATTTTAAATAGAACCATTTAAAAATATTCATTCATCGTAAAGATACTTTATTATATAAAACTCCAAAGTAATAATTTGAAAAATATTATACACTTGGGTTGCACATTACAGTGTGTTTTTTTCTTCTTCTTTTGAAGATCAGAACCACGTGGTAAGCACGTCCCCAATTAAGGTTTGTTTTGGTCATGATTCTTATACCTTTGGTTTCACAGTGGAGCAGGTGCACGGCGGCTGCTATGATTGACTAGCCATTCAAATAAAGTCTCTGTCGCGTGGTTCCTGTAAAATCTTATTTATTAATTTACTATTTATATCCGGTAAGAGAAAATAATAGGAATGAAAATGAGAGGAATTATTTTACGAAGATAAAAAAAAAAACCCCTTGTTAGTCCTATTTATTTCAAATAGTTAAATTTACAAGTATATTTTTTGTAGATAAAACGTAAATTGACGTATTGAAATGCCTAATATTATATGGAATGGACAAAATTTAAAAGTCAGTCATCTTACTAAAGTCCTGGCTATCAAATAAAATAATAAATATAAATTTTTTGATAAAGTAAGAGGAAAAAAATTCTTAACTCGTCGTGTGTTAAGCTTATCTAAATCAAAAAAATTTTTTTTTTTTTTTGCTAAATATAAAGTGTTTTTTGCTAAATATAAAGTATGTAAATCTAAATAGTTAAATAAGTGGGTACCAAGCTGTCTAGCGCAATTAACACTTGTAGCCAAGGGTTAATAATAATTTACCACAAAGGTCAAACTGACACAACCTTCCCCCACCAACTAAAGTGTACAGGTGTGAAGAAGAAGGACCAGAAAAAAAAAAAAAAAAAAAAAAAAAAAAAGAAAAGGTTCAGATGAATGCAAACATCGCAAGTTGAGCAACAAAAGTGACTTTTTCTTTAATTATATATAAATCATCTTCAAATTTATAGTAGTCATGATTTTTTTTTTTTTTGGCTGAAATACTGTACTAGCCGTGATTTTATCTTAAATTATCAATGTTCACGAGATCAAACACATTTTACTTATTACTACTCAAAAAAAAAAAAAAAAAAAAAACATTTTACGTATTAGTTAGTGAGAGTGCAAAATTATATTAAAATTAAGGACCAAAAAAAAAAAAAAAACAGAAGTACTAATCGAATTCAACATTAATTCATAGCGTATTTTAATAACTCAATCAGTTGACATGCTATTTGAAGTAACTCGGACGTGAAAGAACCAATTTTTTCGCGTACCCCTACAAAAGCATTATTATGTATTGAAACATTAATCATATTATGCTCTCTTTTTAATTATGAACATTACCCTTGTAAAACTTGAGTTAGTTAACACTAATATATTTTAAATGTGAAACTTCAAATATTGTAATTTTTTCCCATAAATAAGAGAATTCCTCGAGCAAAACTTTAAGAAGTTTCAAAGAAATTTTATTGTGAACAAGACAGGGTGCAAGTTAACTGTGGAGAATTCCTAATGATAATCAATTAGGTTAGGTTGGTTCATTCATGACTTAAAGTATTTTATCCGTAGCGTATAGCTCTAGAATTATGGAAAGAAAAATGTAAAAAATAAAAAAAACGTAAAAGATAAAAGAATTTTCAAAAGAAAATAGTAATAAGGAAGCTTATGTCATGTTTAGAATTATTCTTGTTTTTATTTTTCACATTTTTTGAGAAAGAAAAATGAAAACACAAAACGGTGTTTGACACAATTAAAGATAAAAAACAGAAATGAAAAAACTTTTTTAGTTTAGTATAAAATGTAAGAGAAATGAAAAACGACTAAAAGTCATTTTTTCATTTTCTCCTCTCTTGAACAGAGAGACATTAATTAGTTTTTTTATACTGAAAATAATCTATTGATAAAACTACCAAACACATTTTAAAAAATAATTTATGTCTGAGATTGAAAACGTTTGCATTTCCTTTTTCATACAAAAAATAAAATCATTTTAAAACGAGTTTCAAACGCACCTTTAATTTTTAGGATAAAATATCTAAAAATCAAGTCGTGCTAATTATTAAACAACCTCTCTGTTTCGTTTGGTTACAAATTAAAGTCCCTAGTGAATTACAACTGAGTAAAAAGTACTGGAAATAGAAACAACATTATTTATGTCACTCTTCACATTTAGTATTTGATACGTGAATTCTACGACTGCCATGGGAACGGTAAAAAGTTTTGGTGTCGTAACGGGGCCCATAATCTGTCAGATCGAGACTCTCTTCGCACTCTACAACCGCCACGGAAACGGCGATAACTTTTAGTGTCATAACGGGACCCATCAGTCGTTAGATTAAACTTGCATTATTAAGAATAGAGAGAAGAAAAAAAGGACAAAAAAGAGAAAAAGATCTAAAAAAAAGGACAAAAAAATTGCGAAAGCATATGTCTCTCATGCGCGTAACATTTCACAAATGTCAAAGGGAGAATCATATTCTGAAATTATAACTTTTTGTTTGTTCACAATATCACCCAACTAAAATTATAACACAACTGAGGTTTAATAATGTAGTAAGGATAAAGATAACAATATCACCCACAAATAGAATTATTATAGTACAAGGTTAGGCCCTCAAAGCAAAAAGCTTCTGAAATTATAACTTTTTGTTAGTTCAATAATAATGCTTAGAGCTTTTCTATCACATCCACCCACTTTTGTTATCTTTTTTTGTACCTGAGGGCCACATATTATAAGAATTATCTAACGCGAGCAGCCCACGTGATTCCATTAATATCTTCTTTATATAATATATTATAATTTTAGAATATATATATATATATATATCTTCTTGTCAAAAAAAAAAATTACGGTAGAAACAAAATTTTTTTTTCACTACTTTTTTTTTGGTGAATAAGGATTCAATTTACAAACCAACACAACATAAAAAGAAGCACAAAACACACGCCCAGGAATGCAACAATTTTATATCACATGTTGCAAATTTTTAACACGTACACCTAAAAATTATACCGTTAAAAAATTAATTTAATAATTAAAACAATAGTTCATATTAATAATAATAAATGACAATTTTCTTCTTTCTTTTTTTTTTTTTTCCTTTTTCTTTTATAATTAGCGAGATGACTAAAAGATATTTACACCAAATAATAAAGTACTAAATATTTAATAATAGATAAAAGTTCAGTAAAATATCTAATATTTCTACAACAAATTATATTGGTCTGTATTATTGTAATTGATTTTGTCTTAAGTTTGAGAATGATATTATCCCTGCGAACATGCAAGTTCAATAGAATTTGATCATAATATTAATAAGACCTATTTGCTATACGGATATAATTTCTGAATGCTCTAATTTTCCTATCATGCATGATCATCCATGGCTCCAAGTTGAAACTGTTGGTTTCTCAAACCGGATTTTCAAAAAAAATTGTGCGGAAGCGTGGTATCGATTGAATCACATAAATCAAAATTTAATGCGATCATTATTTCATGTTAATTTAACTACAAAGATATTAAAGATAGGAATAAGGATTTGACCGTCGTTTGATGATGACGAAAAGCTTGAACTCCTCCAACACCGTCTTGAGCTCTTAAATTCCAAGAACACCACGGTTCTTTCTCAATGTATCTCCGGATTAACATGATCTCGACCGTGTGGGCGTTCTAATGGGTTTCTCAACACATGAGATTGATGAATAGGAAAGCTACCTATAGTTATCACTCACTTTTCTCAAAAGTATATGATGGCATTCAAGAAATTTTTTTTGGTTTTTTTTTGTTCTCCCGTTCTTTCCTTTTTCTTACTTTATGTTCTTTCTGGAAAAAAAAAAAAAACTTTTGGTTTTCGTTACTCACTTATCTCCAGAATTCATCCCCTTATTGAGTAAATGTACAATCGCACATTTACTCCATTTCCTCAGGTGAGGCACGTTTCCTCCCACTCCCTTTCTTCTTCTTTCTTTTTTTTTTTTTTAGGAAACGCGTTTCCTTCCTTTTATATATATATATATATATATATATATTAACGGGGGAGAAGAAGGAAACGTGGAGAAAGAAAAAAAAATCTCTCTAAATTCATCCATATTAATTTAAATTTTTAGTTCGCTGATTTGAATTAAGATATAATTTTATGTGATAATTTTTTATTGTGGTAAAAAAATTAAATATAATTATTTTTTAAAATTTTTTACTGTAATAAAATTCGAATTCTAAACTCGAATCAGTTAAATGAACGAAACCAATCCAACAAATGCAAAAAGAGGGACTAAGGAACGCAATATTGCACAAAACAAGAGACGTCGTAGAGGGAATGCCCCTTCACCTTCGCATGAGACCCATACGTCGTTGTCTTCCGTAGCCAACCTAGGCACGCAGACCTCCCAAGGTTTCGCCACACAACAAGAACAAATCCCCCAAATCAAGGATCCACCCAAGGCCCCATGTGGCCCATGCCGACAATCACAACCGCGACACCATCTCTAATGCTGAGCGCTCAACCACACACCCCTCCCACCCCAGCACCGCCATGACAAGAAGAATGAAAACTCGAGGGTGAAGACCCCAGCACCACGAACGCACCCTATATAGGTGGCCAAACCCGACCAACCAACTCCTCTTCCTCGCCAAAGAACATCTTCCCCCCACCACGAGATGGAGAGAGAGAGAGAGAGAGAGAGAGAGAGAGAGAGAGAGAGAGAGAGAGAGAGCTGTAGGAGATTTTATTCTTCCTTTGGTTTTTTGTACCAACATTTACTATAGTTAGCTAAAAGAAATGTTATTAATAGGTTGTTCTATTTTGTGTTCTAATATTAATTTAAAATATTGTATCTAATTTTTGTCATAAATTTTAAACTTTGAAACTAGCAGTAGACTTTTAGCTTTTAAATAATTTAAAATGAAAAAGTTACTCATTAAACTAATAGCGAATGTCAAAATTTAGTGTATGTTGTTTGCCTGTAGAGTGAACACATGCTCGGTGAGTTCTAGCAGTTATTTTCCATATGCAGTTTTCCATTTAAGCCATTATTTCAGCAGACTTTTTATTGCTTTCAATTTTCACTTTCATTTTCTTTATTTTTTTTTTATCCTCTCCCTTGTAGAGCTGTCAATTCAGTCCAAAACCCAACTCTTTCATCCAGTCTCGGTGAGGCCCGACCTTCTACTCAATTGGATCGGCCTAAATTTGCATCTCTACTCCCTTGCCCACTTCCTTCAAGATAGAAATTATGAACAACATAGCAAGTAGAGAAAATTCTATTTAAAAAAAAAACCAAAAAAAAGGCAAACTTAATATCTTTTCCACCCTTAGGGGAAAAAAACATTTATTTGTTTTTCACAAAAAAGGGTGTTAGAAAGAAAAGAGAAGAAATAAAAAATGGAATAATTGATCCCTTTTTAGATTTTATTATATTTTTGGAAAGTGAAATTAGAAATAATCCAACTTCTAGTCTTTACTAACTATAAACGTTTTCCGCGGTTTATTCCAATTAAAAGGGAAACAATACCATGGAGGGGATTGGCTTTCCCTTTTCACCTTATGTATAGGTGGAAAATGGGAAAAATTCCTTCCTTTCTCTTTCCATTAAAAACAAGTAAACATGTCCTCCACCGTGACACTGAGAAAACTCCAGTGGAGATTGAAAGCTAAGCCAAAAACCCAAATCAACATTATCTGAACTACGTTCAACACTTTGAAAAAAAAAAAAAAAAAAAAAAAAAAAAAAAAAAAAAAAAAAAAAAAAAAAAAAATTATTAGAAACACCTTAAAAACTTTAAAAAAAAAAAAAAAAAAAAAAAAAAAAAAGAAAGAAAGAAAAGAAGAAGAACTATGTTCAACAAATTTAGGGAAAAAGATTACAATACAAGCACACAATTGTAACAGAATCAAAATCCACAAGTTCCAGACATACTATATAGACAATTTTCTGCCACGAATATGGACGATTCAGGGCGTAAGTGGTATGTCTTTGAAGTACTCATGCTCAAGAGCACTCCTGGCTGTAATTCTTTTGCTGGGGTCACAGCAGAGCATTTTCTGTCATGAAAAACAATATACTCCGTTGAAATTCACAAAAAACAAGATGGTAATAACATTTTTTTCTAAATCAAGTAAGAAATTCACCACAAAATATTTCCTAATGTTTAGATTTGTTTTTCTTTATGCTATAGGGTAAGGACTTTGTTAAGATGCACTATAACAAGCTTACCAAACCTTTTTTTCAAGTTGCTTGAAATCGAGAGAGAGGGAGGGAGGGACAAAAACCACCTTTGAATGAGCCATAAAAAGGGTGGCAGTAAAAAGAATCAAATATCACTTGCACCTTTCAAACCACCTTTGACAAAGAACAATAGACATCAAGGAAAAAATGTCTTATTTTTGGCAGTCTCGAGCACAAGGAGTCACAAAGTAAACTCCCGTGCTAGCACATAAGCCAAGGACCCTATATTTTTCAAACAAGTTAAATCTCTCTCTTTTTATGGGTCATAAAAAAAGGTTAAAAAAAGGATTTCCAATCAAGCAACTTCTCAAGAAAGCAAGTAGCAATTATTGCCAATGGTAAAGGAAATCTGTAGACACCAAGAAGTGCTATTTAAGGACAATTATCATATTCTCACACAAGGACTCACGGAAAGAAGATCAACACCAGCGGATTCAAGATTTGGAACAACAGTTGCCAAGTCCTGCAAATTAAAAGGTACATCATTAAAGATTTTCCATCATATAATCCCTCGGGATTTCATATAGAGGAATTAATGAGAAAAAAAAAATGTCAGGTACAAGAAAAATTACCTGCGTAGGCCACTTGGGAAAGGAGGATTTAAAATCAGGCAAAGAACTCACGCCAGGCCATGTGTCCTCAGTTGGAGTGCCCGTGATTCTTTGTATACAAAAAAAAACAACAGTGAGAGTACAATTGCAAATTTAAAACTTTTTGCAACTAACTTCTTTTATGACCAAAGCTGACCAATGTTAGCTCTCTTTTTATCTATACAAGTGAAACACAGAGAGGAAAAGTATATTAACTTGACAAGGTCACAAAATGATTTTTTTTTTCCTCGTCGATAATGGAAAGTCAAAAACTGACTGATCATAATAAGGAACAAATGGCAATTTAAAAGTCATCAGTATTAATTTACCCTATTTCAAATTATTAATTTATCAAATATGTGTGTGCATTACTGGATACTTGACTGATGACCTAAATAAAAGTTTCAAGAACTGGGCTTGCTAATCTTAATGCCAGTAGTGGTTGCAGATACATGGTTGAATGCACATTTACCCGAAAATCTTGAACAACTCATCAATCTCAGAGTCCCCGGGAAACAACGGTCGTTGATTCACCATCTCAGCAAATATACACCCGACTGACCAAACATCAACAGGTGTCGAGTACTGACGGGATCCAAGCAATATTTCTGGTGCTCTGTACCAGAGGGTCACCACCTAGACAGAGCCACCACAAAATTATAAACCCAAGCCTGGCAATAATCTGTAGAGTAATGACGAGGTCCAAGCAATATTTCTAGGGCTCTGTACCAAAGGGTCACGACCTGGACAGAGCCACGACAAAATTATAAATAAGCCAAATGTGGAATAATTTGCGGCCCGGAGAAGTCAATCATTTAGAGTGCGTTTGGTTGGTGGATTCGTGATATGATTCAGATCATGGTTTGTGGTTCGCTACAGTGTTTTCTCTCACAAAAAATACACGTAAATTGAGAATAATTCTGAATCTATGAACCAAACGTAGCCTAAGACTCCCATTAAGAGGTGGCTTTCTTACTTTTTATGGTGAATGCACTAGGAATACAAATATATCATAAGAATATACTAGTCTAGATTGACTTTAAAATGTAGAGTAAATAATGTTCCTACATCCTCATAGCTATCTAGGAAGATGCTGCCTAACAACGGGAAGGGAAAGAAATCCTATCATATAGAGTTTTAGAGATCTCAATTTAATTAGCAGCTATCAGAACCCTATGAACAAGAAAGGAAACCCAAATCCATTGTATGTTCATACCTCATGAGTAAAAGTCCTGACAGGAATACCAAACGCTCTGGCCAGTCCAAAATCTGCAAGCTTTAGTGCATTGTTGCGACGATCTATCAACAAATTCTGTGGTTTTAGATCTCGATGAATAACTCTATGAGAATGACAATATGCAATCCCACGGAGAATTTGATAAAGAAACATCTGCAAAAATGAAAATAAAAATTGAAGTCCTATATCAGATAGTCCAAATGCATCAACAACATTGATTAAAGACCAATTGATTAATTCATTCAAGCATAGAATACAATAACTGATAGAAGCCGCAGACAAAGCCTAAGCATCAACTGGATAAAGATGTGAAATACAAAAAAAAAAATGTTTTACAAAGAACCATAAATAAAATGGAGATGAAGTATGTGACATAGAAATTAAAGACGGAAAATTTGTACCAGACATCTGATATCTGGTTGAGAAATATTGAAAATTTATTAGAAAACCATTCATGGTGAATAAACAGTAAGGTATTGATATATAACTCCTTTAACATCCTTGAAAACTCTAGTAAGATAAACAGGAAATGGCCTGCAACTCATGTGAAATGTACTGTTTATTTTAAGTTCAATAAACAAAACTCACCTTTATCTGGCGAAGATCCTTTGCAAATTCTGGAGAAGTATCCATGTGCTTCTTCAGATCCAAGTCCAAGTATTCAAAAACCAAATACAGACGCTTCTCACTGTGCACTACATCCTCTAACCTGTCAACCAAATACCCATCAGCGATATTTATTGCTGCTCTCTCTTAAGATTATTTGCTTTTTAAAAATAAAAATAAAGAAATCTTAGTTGTAGTGTTACATGCAACTAAATATGTGTAGCCTAACCTAAGGCACCCAAACAAATTTGTTAAGTAGCAAAAACTATAGAAGTTAGTATCTTCGGAGATGTTCCAACCAGAAACTTGTCATCTTAAATCAAAAAAATTTGCAGGATACCAGTAGGCAAGCACATCTTTACACTCCATATCTTCTAATTTGTGAAAAGCATATTTCTTACTTCTTACTTCATAAAAACTAGTCAAATGCACGAATGGACTATAATCTAAATAAATACCTGACAATGTTTCCATGCTGCATTTCTTTCAAAAGGGAAATTTCCCGAATAGCCGTGCTCGGGACGCCCTCGTCTTCCTGTTCCAAACGGATCTTCTTCAAAGCTATAGTCTTGTTAGTGACTCGATCACGAGCCTTGTAAACCACACCATACGTTCCCTCGCCAATCTTCTCAACTTTTTCATACTAAAAAAGCATCACAAATTCAGACCAGACAAAACAAAAATGAAATACAGTGAAGTTGAAACGTAAAATGTGAGAGAGAAATCTACAACTAACCTGATCCATATCCAAAGCTCAAACCACCTTCTGCCGAATATGAAGTTCCTAAACTTAAAAAAAACCAAACAATATTAGTATTTCCACAAAAACCAGTAGAGTTATCTTGCATTGCTTTTTCCTTCCTCTAATCCTTCCATAAAATTGTAGTTCTGCAGAGGATTTGATCAATTCCTAAATCTTAGAATCCACCACTAATCTCACCAAACAAGGCCTTTTCTTTACTTGTTAAAAACCAAACGCACAAATAAGATTCAGTTATTAACAATAACAAAACTGATGATCATCTTTGGTGATCAAATTCTTGCTTGATTATGATCTAGATTAGAACTGAATGATACAACAATGCTTGCTTAATTATGTATGAACTTTAAATTAAATCAACATTTTGTAATTCAGTCTCTACTACTAATCTGCTTTACGGATCAACAAAACTGAACGTGAAACGAAAGAAAAATTGATAATATGAAAGAGATGATAATGAATAAATTCAGAGCTAAAATTTTAAAAAAATAATAACGAAAAATAAAGAATCAAGAAGTGAAATATGAGGGAAATTTCTGACGAGATTGTGAATGCTTGCTTAATTATGTATGAACGTTAAATTAAATCAACATGTTCTAATTCAATTTCTACCACTAATTTGCTTTACGGATCAACAAAACTGAAAGCAAAACGGAAGAAAAATTGATGATATGAAAGAGAGGATAATCAACAAATTCAGAGCTAAAATTAAAAAAAGAAAAAAAGAAGAAAATTTAAGAAGTGAAATATTAGGCAAATTCTGACGAAATTGTGAATGCAGATAAGAGTTAATGGAAATTGGAATAAGAGAAAGATAGAAATGAAGAAGAGTACGAACCAGAGCGGAGAAGAGGGAATGTGATTTTGAGCGATTGGCGAGGGAAGGAAGATTTGTGAGATTGTTTGTTTGTTTGTTTGTTTGGCTTATAAACAAACCAACTCCCATTTTCCTTTTATTTTCTCTCTTTCACTCCCTCAAGTAATACGTGAAAATTAAAAATTCGTAACACAACACCTCAAAAAAAAAAAAAAATATATATTGGCGAGGGAAGGAAGATTTGTGAGATTGTTTGTTTGTTTGTTTGTTTGGCTTATAAACAAACCAACTCCCATTTTCCTTTTATTTTCTCTCTTTCACTCCCTCAAGTAATACGTGAAAATTAAAAATTCGTAACACAACACCTCAAAAAAAAAAAAAAAATATATATATATATATATATATATATAATATTGTCCCTAAGATTGCCTAATATCTAATTTGTTTTTCTAATGTGTGTGTGTGATTTTTTTCTGGAATGTGCCCCCGTTGTAGTTTTATGTCCCACTTGGTCATCCTCATTCGGTTTTGTGCTCTTTTTTTTTTCCTTTAAAAGTTTAAATCCTGTATTTATATGCAGTATTCAAATACTTGTTTTTTTTTTTTATATATATACAATTCAAATAATTGTTTTAACTTTGTTAAAATAACTATTAGTCCTGTAAAGTGATATTTATATTTTTTCTGATTTCTCCACTAAATAATTTCTCTTAAATATGTCCCTATTCAAAACATCTTTTTCCTACAATTTTCTGAGCTATTTTCTTTTTTTTGTAGATACACGTTCCATGATTTTTCTCATTAAAATAATATCTCTAAAATGTATTGCTATCTAAATATTTGTTTCTTATAATTCTCTAAAATAATTGTATATTGAGAGTGATTGTCAAAAATACGTTTTCTTAATCATCTCTAAAATAATTATTTTAAAATATATCCCTACTTAAATGTTTTTCTTCCTAAGGCTCTTTATTTACTATTTTCTCATATGTACCTCTTAATTAATGTTTGATACGATTCGCCTATTGATTTTATTTTCTCCAAACATGCTCGACTTGTATATACATAAACAATACTCAATCAAAACACACGTTTATGTCTGACAAAATGCAAGTTCATACAAAGCAAGAAAAATTTATTAGTAAATACACTATAAACTACCAAAAAAGTCATAATTAAAAAGAATTCTCGTGCTGCCAAGTGAAAGACAATTGTTAATGTAAAACTCAATAACACCATATTTTGGTGAAAATAAATAGTAATGTGGCAAACGTTACAAGGCAAAAACGGCCTTCGTTTCCCTTAATTAAGGACTTTAGGTTTAGGCAGAAAACAATGTAGTAAATACTACAAATAAACATGAATTTCACTCTCATACATATCCTACAATTAAACCTTACTTATATTGTACATACACAATTTAATCCACTGTCAACCTCCAATTTACATTCCTTTCATAATTAATCACATTATACATTGGAAACATTATCCTTACTCTTATTCCCTAAGATTAATTTTCAAGCGGGAGTTTTAGTCAACATTCCGACGACATCTTTCATTGCGGGCCTTTCTCGCGGAATCTCATTGGCACACAAACAAGCAATCCTAAAATACTCCTTGACATCCTCCTCCAACAATCCCTCCCTCGAAATATTCACATCCACCGTTTCCATCTCGCGATTCTGGGCCACCATTTCCCTGGCCCATTGGATCAATCCCATCTCCGAGCCGCCCATAGGCAAGTTGGGCCGCTTCCCCGTGGCGGTCTCGAGCATCAGAATCCCAAAGCTGTACACGTCGGCCCTGGGCGTCGCCACCGTGAAGCCCTCCCTATACTCGGGCGGCATGTAGCCCGTCGTGCCGGCCACCTGGGTCGACACGTGGGAATGCGAGGATTCGATCGTCCGGGCCAGCCCAAAATCCGCTATCCGGGCCTCGAACTCAGAGTCCAACAGCACATTGCTAGCCTTGATATCTCGATGAATAATGGGCTTATCAAGCCCATGCAAATAAGCCAGCCCATTAGCAACACCCCTAACAATCTTATTCCTCGTGGACCAAGACAAAGGCAATCGTAGAACCTCAGAGTCGTCGTGAAGCCAAAAGTCCAAATTACCCCTCTGAATAAACTCGTAGATCAGAATCCTCTCGGCGCCGGAGACACAAAAACCGAGAATTCGGACGAGATTCCGGTGATGGAGATTGCCGAGAGTCTCCACCTCGGCCCGAAACTCACGAAATCCTTGGAAGGCGTCGGGATCGAGCTTCTTCATGGCGACGGTGCGGCCGTCGGAGAGCTGGGCCTTGTAGACGAGGCCGAAGCTGCCGTCGCCGACGATGAGATCGGCGGAGAAGTTTCTTGTGGCGGCGAGGATTTCAGCCATGGAAACCTGGAGAGACGGGTCGAAGGACAAGCTCTCGTCAACGGTGACGGAAGTCAACCCTGGAATGGAAATGCTTCGGGTATTACTATTCCGATCGTGTTGATTGGTGGAATCTTTTTTGTTTTTGTTGTTTTTGCAGATGAGGAAGATTGCTGCCAGTACTAAGGTGATAAAGAAGAAGCTGGCAATGGCGGCCACGACGGCTTGGAGATTTCCGCCCGTCATAACATGTGGTGATCTAGGGAGAAATTGGGGGGGAATTAGAGAGATGTTAGAGAGAGAGAGAGACGTGAGAAAATTGAATTGTAGTAGAGAAATATTAAGAAAAAAATGGAGGATTGACTAATAAGAAATGGGTATGCGAAGGTAAGAGCCGCCGTTAACGGGGGTCATGGATGAATGAATGTGAGTTTCGTGGAAGAAGCACCATACTCCACTACTTGGTCCTTACTTACTCTGCTCCAGTCAACGCCTCTTTTTTTTTTCGTTTATTAGTTCGATTCAAATTTAAAATTTAAATTTTATTATAGTAAAAAATTCTCAGAAATAATTACATTTAATTTTTTTATTATAGTAAAAAATTATCACATAAAATTACATCTCAACTCAAATTAAAAATTCAAATCAACGAACTGAATAGGCCCATTATATACACACACAGAAAAAATGATTTGGTGGATTTTTAGATTTTTTTTTTTGTTACAAATTGTCTATATAGCTGTGAATACCGTAGCAGAACTCATTGTTTGGGAGATTTTTAGGGTGGGATTGGAAAAGAATAAACTACAAAATTTATGTTTTAAATTGTTAAGTGGACGTTTTGTTCATGAATTTAAAATTATTCTCATTTTATGTGTATTATTTGTGAAAGAAAAATACTGTAGAGAATATAAATAACATTAACCCACTTTGGAGTGGGGGTTCGGTGTACCAAATGTGAAAGGAGGAAAATGATGAGGAGAATTTTTTGTACTCAGCTGGATGACTCAAAAGTATTTCGATTCTACATCAAAACTTAAGTGACAACCATTTTGTTAACTAAATTAGTGTCACCTCCTTTTGTAGAATATATTGCTTGTGCTTTTGCATTATAGGCTGTTGGCATATTACTTACATAGGGTTATTAAAGAAAAAAAAAATTGTAAAGAAAAAAAAAACATATTCAAAACTAAAGAAGATCCAATATCACTCGCAACTTTTCATAGTCTCGTTTTAGGACGACAACCAAGCAATAAATTGTGCAATATTGAGTGTATGATGACAGGAAAAATTAGATCTATTTTCCGAATAAATAAAGTCTGCCAATATTACATTCGGAATTTGAGGAATTAATAATTATTGTACTAAAGAGCTTAGATGAAGACTCGTCCTCTACAGACTCGTAGAGTAGACACTTCTCAACTGAATATCTCCAAAACAAGCAGTTAAAACATTAAAAAGATGTTTGTTTCTTGTATTCGTCCATGATTCTGAATTATAATTTACGGTTCTCTACAGTGTTTTTTTCTCACAAAAAACGCACGTAAAACAGACACTTCTCAACTGAATATCTCCAAAACAAGCAGTTAAAACATTAAAAGGATGTTTGTTTCTTGTATTCGTCCATGATTTTGAATTATAATTTACGGTTCTCTACAGTGTTTTTTTCTCACAAAAAACGCACGTAAAATGATGTGATGGACCAAAGAGGAAAAAAATAGATAAAGAGCAGTTCCACAGCACTTAACAGGAAACATAAAGGTTCAAACACTTTTATATGCACTCTAAACATTCCAGGAAAAAGATTTCACGTGGGATTTAAATTTTTTTTTTTTAATGTCTAATTGTAGTCCTAAATAAAAGCGAGTTTGAGGACCACAATCCCTTGTGATGGACCTGAAGGAGGGGAAACTTGGCAAAGTATCCATTTGGAGCTATTCTAGATTTGTAAATTCAATATCAGTCCTCCTAATAAACAATTTCAGTTGGAATATGTCGTCAAATTATTGTTAGTAGTACATGTGATCAAGGAATGTTAAACCCAATAATCTTCGTATATGCATATCAAAAACAGGAAAAATGTTAAAAAGAGCCCACGGGGCCGCGATCCCGTTGGGCCTAGTAGTACTGCTTTGGAATATGCCATATTTCTGTGCTACGGAAATGACTTTGCCAATTAAAATCAAGGATAAGGCGATTTAGGAGGCACAATAAAGTTCAAGAAGATGGAGCAACTAATTTTAACCATACATAAAAATACAGAAAAAAGATGTGGACAAGAACAAAGAATGAGGCAAAGCGAACTTGACAATATAGAAAGTCTAGCAAGTTGCTCTGAACATTTTCAGGGATTAGAATTTTCGGATTAGGGGTCAATTCGCATCCAATACAAAATTATCGGATTAGAAAAATCTTAATCGGTTATTATTATTAATTCAAGAGTTTTTCAATCCAATCCAAACTTATCGAATTTTGTGGATTGGATTTCACAAATTAGAATTTGGGCCTTTAAAGTTGATAAGCATATTAAACGCATTTTTTTATCATTATTTAGAAATTAAATTAGACCTAAGAAAACTCAAAATTCAATTTGTTACAACCCAATCAACACAATTAGAAAAAATAAAGAATTTAATGCATAAGTCTGGACTTTTACCTTTTACTCTTGATGAATACCCTTTTGTTAGTGTAATTATTTGACTAACAAAGTTATAAATCATTAATCAAGAGTAAAAGATAAAAATCATGACCGATGCACTTTCAAGAGTATTTGTCAAGATTATCCAATCAATTATGACAAACTAGCTTCAATCAAACTCAAATTGAAGTCTTCCCATAAACATTAATTTAAAGATTAATTTCAAATTTGCCACTTTAGACTTTGTAATGATTTATCATTCTAACTTTAAAGCGTGACATCAACTTTAAAATTTTAACAATTTTAGCACTTCTATTAGTTTTGTAAATTGAATTGCCACGCGTCACATAGGGACTAAACTTAAAAAGGGTAATTTCATAAAACGCCAAAAACCTCATAAAAATTACTGAGAAAAATGAAAATATATCTCATCAACAAAAAGAAACCAAGCACTCCCAACGCCCTAGTAGAGCGCACCCCTTCCCCCTAATGCAAAAACGACAGTATCTTCTGTTGTCACCCTATGTTTTTTTCGGATATTCTTAAGAGTGCATCAACTTTAGAAAAAATCATAGGAATTTCACAAGATCTTTCGTCAACAGCCATTCAAGAGCATTAACAATTTTCGAGCCTTTTATGGTGAGAAAAGAAAGACGAAGCACTTAAGAATGAAGTAGTCAAAAATTACTAATCTTTAGAAAAAATGTAGTCGTCAAGAATTAATAATCTTATAAAAAAAAAATCAAATGTGTGACAAGTAACGAATGCAGTAGTCAAGAGAGAGATAGAGAAATAATGATAAGTAACGAATTAAAATAAAAAGATGGTGTAAAAAGAAAAATGAAATAGTTAAAAATTAATAATTTTATAAAAAAAATCAGAAATAATTTTAGAATAATAAAAGTGTGTAAAAATAAATTTAATATTTTAAAAATGATGTGAGATGTGTATTTAAAATGAGATGTGGAGAATAAAAAAAATGTATCAATAGATCCGCTCAATTTATTATAATATTGAGATTTTCATCGGTAGAATATTTATGTAAATTATATATCTTTTCAATGTTTACCGCATCCAAAAATGTCAATGAGAAATATGTCTTATAATCTAACAATGATAAAAGTGCGAATTGCATGTTTCCCATTTCAACCAAAACGTCCTAGTTTTTGTTGAAAGTGCTATTTTTTTATACAATTTTTTCTTTGTTTTTAGTCCTTCTCTCTCTTTTCTTTTTATTTTTTATTCCTTACTTGATTTTTCTTTTTTCTTTTTAATCATTATTCTCCTTTTTATTATTACTTTTATTTTTTAGTGTTTCCATATTTTTCTTTCTTTCTTCTTTTAGTCCTTCTTTGCGTCCTAGTTTTTGTTGAAAGTGCTATTTTTTTATACAATTTTTTCTTTGTTTTTAGTCCTTCTCTCTCTTTTCTTTTTATTTTTTATTCCTTACTTGATTTTTCTTTTTTCTTTTTAATCATTATTCTCCTTTTTATTATTACTTTTATTTTTTAGTGTTTCCATATTTTTCTTTCTTTCTTCTTTTAGTCCTTCTTTGTTTTTTTTTTTTTTTCCATTTTATCTCTGTTATTTTTATTTGTTTACATTAATATTTTCTTCCTTATTGATATCTTTTCTAATTACATTGTTAACATAATGTTTCACAAATATTTCTTTGTTTCCCTCTCTCCAATCAAATTTTATTTTTTCAAATGTATCTCCTAAAAAATATATCATCTAATTTTGTCTCACTAATTTATTCTACTTTTTTTTTACAATATCTTAAGATTAAATAAATTAACAATAAACAAATAAATTACTTAAAAAAGAAATTTAGTCATATATTTAAAAGAATTTTAGAAACTAAATATGCACGTGAATAGCATTTGCTTTTCAAAATGCTGAGATACTAATTTAATATTATAAAAAATATAAGATACTAAAAATAAATTTCGATACGACATAAGATATCAAAATGAAATCTTCTCCTTTCACTATATCAGTATTTCCACCCATTGTAATTAGGCCTGTATGTGGGTTGCGTTGGAGGTTTAGATTATTTTTTAACCTAACCTAAAGACAGTGATTTTAGAAAACCTAAAAGGACGTTTAGTTTATGTATTCAGAATCATTTCGTTTTACGTGTATTTTTTATGAGAGAAAATACTCTAGAGAACCATGAATTATGATTCAAAATCAGATACGAATATAGGAAACAAACGTCCCCTAAATCTAACAAACATTAAATCCTGAAGCAAACTGTGGTTTTTGGGTAGGTTGGTTCCCGTCAGTTTGGGTTGGGTTGCTCAGTTTGAACTTATCAAATTAAGAAGACGTTTGGTAAGAGGATTCATACCATGATTTGAATCATGGTTCATGGTTCGTTACAGTGTTTTCTCTTACAAAAAATACACGTAAATTGAAAATAGTTCTAATCTCATGATTCTAATCTCATGATTCTAATTCATGAACCAAACGTCTCCTAAATTAAAAAGCGTCTAATGAATAGAATAGATTACTTATACAAAATAAAAACATAATCGCAATATAATAGAAGCTATCAAAACTCCAAACTCAAAATCAAAAAATAAGCTCAATATCAAACTAAAAATAAAACTCAAATCCAACATCATAATTTCCAAGTCCAACAATTATCCAAAAGTCATATGCCGAAAAAGAAGTTAAACCAAATATATAATAAATGAAAAACAAAGTTCAGTTTGAGTTGGGTTGTTCGGATTGGAAAAAGCTTAACCCACCGACCACACAAAAAATTTGGGTTAAAGATTTATAAAGGACCCCAAAATATTTACACGATAGATGAGTTGTCAATTTTGGTGTGTGGGTTGGGTTGAGTTTTTGGTTTGAATTGAGTTGTGTTAAACAGATATAATTGTATTTTCATCCAAGATCATGTCTAAGCCCCCACACATATTATATATATACTAAAGGAAAAAAACGTGCACTGTTTATACACTAATAATTTATTGTTTATTGTATAATAACATTTTCAAAATTCTGTTTCTATCTCTTATCTTTTCAATGTGAATTGTTAATTTTATCATTTTTTTCTTCTCTTTTCCCATCTCTGCACATGGACTTTTGTGTCTTTCGATCTAAGATTGCCACGTGTTGACGCCCGGCTGGCCGAAGGAAAAAGTGGCAGGGTTGTCACGCCCCCAAACAGGGGTTAGTGATGTGGAAGATTGTTTAGAAATTAAACCTGATTAAGAGGGTGATTAAACCGTTAGCAGTTCAAAATTTTATTTCAAATCCAAGACACTCAGGTATTTTTAAATAGGCCCCGCTATTTTAACGAAATTGAGTTTTAAGAAAGAGGGAGGCGGACTTTAAAAAACACAGTTACTATTAAGATCAACATCAAAAGTCAGCCTCCGGCATCTACAGGGTTTACACTTGTGCATACATAAATAAGTACAGAAAAGTTTTAACTAACATCAACCACAGTCTAGTAAAGTTTAGGGTTTTACAATCCATAGTTAATACATGTCTTAATGTGTATGGTAAAGGTGGAAAATGCATCACCGCTTCTTTTCTTCTATAATTGAATTCCTCGCCTATTCTACGCTACTTCTAGCGTCGCCTGAGTAGGGTTAAATACATTTTGAAACATACGAAGAATGAGCGAAAGGCCCAGTAGGATAAGATTTATAAAACTAAATAAATAAGTGAATAAAATGAAATAACCAGGCCCGAAATAATCAATCGGAACCAAACAACCTTTTTCTGAAAGATAAATAAACTGAAATTCCAGATTACAGGCAACCAACAAGTAATGTAACTTAAATTACTTATGACCAAAGTAAGGCCTTAACACCACCGTAGTGGCCCGTCCAGATTTCGGGTTCTGTCTCCAAGGATACGATCTCCATATCCTATCTAGGCCATCAACGAGCTTACCAATTCGCAAGGTATCTTATCTTAAGAAAATGTTCATTAAAACTTGAAATCAGTCCATTATGAGATCAATAGCGAAAATCAAGCTATTATCTTGAAAGTACTTTTCTTTATCAACATAGTCTTATCTTTTGAAAACATTACTTGGGCAAAACACTTTAAAATAGGCTAGCAATGATATGGGAAGAATATCCTACCTCTTAGATATCAAACCTGCGGCTATTTTCACGTAGCCCTAGCTCCACTTGTCTTTGAAGCTCCAAGTCCAATTGTGCCACTAGTTTCGTCATCAAGACCAACAATTTAGAGTTTATCCTTTCCTCTAAACAATCTTGCTTAATTATATACAATTGTATCATGCTAGTGTGCCTTAACTCAAAATCAAAGTTCATAAATAATTCTTAATTCAAATCATGATTCTTTGAGAATTGGAATTCAATTAAGAGAAATGGAATGGAAATAAGGATTAATGTGGCTAATCCGCTCACTTTAAGTTTCTAAATGAGGTTGGGTGGGCTCTACATTGAATTTCGGGGTCAAAACAAGGTTATTAAACTGTTGAGGGTCAGATTAGTGTGAACCGGTCAACCGGTGACAGAGAAGTGCAACTCCACCGGTTGGCCAGTGGAGTGGTGACCGGTCGACTGGTGGGGAGAAATGTCAGGGCCAAAAATGGCTGATCTGCGAAGAACAAAGCCAAATCCTGTAAATTTTGGGTCCGATTCAACATATTCTCAAAAGAAATTAACAAAACCAGGTTCCAATCAACAATTGGGGTTCAAAGAATCAAAACCCCCTAAATTTCATCAAAATCCATTCAAAAGTAAATCTAAACCAAAAATCACTAAACTCGACTAAAACGAGTTCCACAATGCTAGATCTGAAATTTAAAGAGAGTTTCAAAGAGTTTTTACCTTGATCTAGACTTTGATGTTGAAAAGTTCTTGCAAATCCTTATTTTTGGTTCGAATCCGGTTCAAAATCCGCTTAGAGAGAGAGAGAGAGAGATAAGCTTTGAGCGAGGGAGAGAGACAGAGAGTGAGTGAGAATGAGAGAGAGATGGAGAGAGAGAGCTTTGAGAAAGAGATAGGGAGAGACGTGAGAGAGGGTGAGAGAGAGATTGAGAGAGTGAGAGAAGGAGAGAGTGAGAGGGGAAATAAGGAAACGAAAAGGAAAATAAAATAAAAAAGTAATATTGAAGGGTAAATAAAAGGAAAGGGTGGAAGTATGTATTCCCACACACTTCCGGGGTGGAATTGTGAATACTAAAAGTAATTTAAAATTTCTTGATTAATTGAGAAAATCAAATTAGGCACACTAATAAATCACAATTAGTATAATTAAACATACTTAATTCTTGAGGGCGTTACAGGGGGCCACCACTGTGAAGCTGGCATCTTCTCCTCGCTGAATGCGCTTCTCTTGCGCGTGCTTTTCACGCGCGAATCACAGCCTTCAAAATTTTTAATCAGACGGTTTCAAACCATTTCTTGTTTATTTTTTAGATTTTTATTCTTTATTATAGTTATTTACTATTTTGAATTGATTTGGAGTTCAATTTTGTCCGTTTTACCACCGTTTTGTGCTAAATTTTTTATATTACTTAAATAAAAATACCATAAATAATACAATAAAATTAAATAAAAATATGCTAAATTAAAATCAAATAACACCAAAATAAATAAAAAAAATAAAATAGAATTAATTTAAAACACAACGAAATAAGTTAGATTATTTTCCCTCTCTATTTGCTTAAGATTTTCCTCCTTTATTATTTTCATTTCTTCTATGTCGTCTTTTTTACTTCTTTTTTTTTTTAAATAATTTGTGTTAGCCGTTATTTTAAATTAATTATGTGTGCGTAGCGCGCGCTTGAGACTAAAAAAGAAAAATATTGAAAAAGAAATGTGTTGATTTGTGGTCCGATTTTATTAATTTCAATATCATTTTGCTCCAAATTTTCAAAGTCTCTCAAATGATAATAGTATAAATAATTTAAATGAAAAATATAATTAAATAAAAATACACTAAAATAAAATAAAGTCGCACCTTTTTAAATAAATTAAACTAGAAATTACTTTAGTGGTTGGAAGAACAACACACACATTGATCAAAAAACCATGCTCTACATTAACAATTGATGAACATTAATAATTGATGAAAGCTTTACTGATCTATTTATAATTCAACCAATTATTGCTCGAACAAACAAAAATCTTGCAAGTTTATTTTCAACAAAAAGGAGCACAAATAACTACAGTTATTTCAAAAATATTTGAAAATATCAATATTTCAATATCACTATCACAAATATCAACTGCCACAACAATAGATCTAAAAACACCAGATTCAAAAAGATTGACCACAAGGTAAGACATATTTACTAATTTATATCAATTATCAATAAAAATCAACATTTACTATTTTGAATACATATTTTAACAATTTTTAATCAATTCAAATCTGAATCAAAAGCAACGGATCCACTCAAAATCACCCAAAGACCATATAATATAACTACTTCTAAATCCTATAATCTATACTACATATAATTAAAGATTTTTAACTTCTTTAATTATTATTATTAATTTTTTAAAATTTTTTATTTTGTAGTTAAAAAGAACAAAAAAAAACAAAGGCTATAATATATTGTATATATGTATATATCTTATACTATAAATTTTTTTAACTTTTTATATAATATAACAGTACTTTCTACATTAATGCACATACTTTTAGCTAGTTTTCTTCTATAAAAGAAAATTTTACGTTGTCATCATGTAATAAAAAGAAAAAGAAAAAAGTTATCATTTTTGGGTTTTTTTTATGAGGAAAATCATTTTTGGGTGATTACTCGGTTTATTTTGCTGATGAATGTAATTTTGAAAAAGTTTTCCCACAAAATATAAATATTGAACTGTCAAAAATCAAAGTCGTAGAGTGAGTGCTGGACTATTAACTTATTAACAGCCACCAAACAATAGCCACGTCATACAAAGCCTCTGACGTGAGCGGTAATTACATTCTAATTAGGGGCAGATTTTTTTTGAGAATCTAATTAGGGGCAGATTAGAGAACGTTTAATTGATAAATTTAAAATTATAATTTAAAATTATTTTTAAGAGTTATTTAATTAAGAGATTCGTATCTAATTTAAATCATAGTTCGTGATTCGTTAATCTCATAATTTTAATTTATAAATTAAATATTTTTTTAATTTATGTGTATTTTTTATAAAAAAAATATTATAATAAATTATGAAGTATGATTTAAACATGATATGAATCTTGAACCAAAGTCATTCAAAAGATTAGAAAAAAAAAGGCACGCTGGGTTGGTCATCACACGCAGAGTGTAAGAGTGACGTGAGGTGAGAGAGAGAAAGAGAGAGAGAAAGAGAAAAAGGGTTTCTTTTCCTTTCATTTCCATTTCATTTCATTTATTTTGCAGTTCGCTATATATTCCAAGCACACAAAAATTTTCGAAACCCCTTTTCTCACACCCAAAAAAAAAAAAAAAATCTGAACTCGCAAACCGCCATAGCCGAGATCATCACTCCTTTAGGTTCTATTTGTTAGGGAATAATGGTGGACTGTATATGGAAGAATATAAATATGAATGCGAAATGATGAGATGGGCAAGTCTCACAACTTGAAAATGTTAAACTCTGTTCCTTTTTCCTAGTCTTTGAATTTTTTTTTTGTTGGGTTTTTGTGGGTGGTCAATGGTGATGGCAAAGCGCGTCTACGAAGCCTGGAAAGGAAGTAATGTAAGCCTTTCTCACTCAATTTCAGATTTTCATTTCTTTTTTTGGTTTCAGATTTGTTGGGTTTTTGATCAAATTAGTGGATTTTGATTGCTTCTTTTCGTTCGTTTGGTTTTCGCTTTTTTTAGCTATTTTGATTTGATTTTGCTTAAAGCTCTGGCAATGTAGTTGAGTGATTCTCCATCTATGAAGCATTGAATTTAGTGATTCTTCTAGATTTAGGCGTGCCCTAGGGAAGCTTTGTCTACACCGTTGGAGTAATGAAATTGAGTTTTAGGGCATTTTACTAACTTGCAATTAAAGTTAATACGAAAGCAAATAGGCAAAGAGATCATTGATTCCCTTTCTATCGTAGTGTTTAGTACCTATTAGGAAGTGGAATTTGATACAATACGATTCTCTTGCTAGTGTTTTACTGACTTTAGGAATCGGAATCCTAATAACTAAAGTACTAAAAATGTGCGTGTTGATACAATTATTAGTTAAAATTTAGAAATATGTAAATGTAATTCTAAAGGAAAGGGAAGAAATACCCATTTGGCTAACTAAGGATTGGCTTTCCCTTGAATATTAAGTTAGTATTCCTCATGTTGTAAGAAGCACTTGAATAGGTGGGAATGAGAAACATTTCTCCCTTTCCGTTTCCTATTCACGACAAGTAAACATGTCCGTCGATTACTTTTCATAATCAAGTAATATCACGTCTAAGAGAATCAGTGGAAAGAGTAAAGTACAAGATTATAATACAAGGTAATATCATGTCAAATGGAGAATTCACACTTTCACTTCACTATAATTGAACTCCATTAATCCTTTTAGACAACATTTGCATGAGTAGATGCTTTTGACTTATTATCATTTTGTTTTTCCATTCGTGTTGATCTCAAAACACTGAATTTTTCTATTTCTGGAAACTTACAACATTTTTTTCCTCTTGTTCACCGTGAAACCCGGATCCTAAGGCTCCGAAAATCATCAGCTACTAAAGTCTGAATTGACCTAGTCGTTATATGCTAACACTTTTATTCTGTTGAAATTTCATTCTGTGCAAGTTGTGCCATTACATCTCCTCTGTGAGTCTTAGCATACTTATTGCAGTCCTTCCATATCCAGCCTAGCCTAATAGATTAACAAAATTAAGACTTCTTGTTTAGAAGAAACCAGAAAATATTATTGATGAGTAATGGAAAAGATAAGGTATAACAGGGGACAAGGAGTCCACCAAAGCATAACAGAACAAAAGAGGACTAGGAGCACAAAACTAAAGCGGGACTAAATCCCATCCTCTAAGTAAATCTGAAAAGGAAAATGAATTGAAGCCTTTAACTTGCGAAAACCACAGTGCCACACTAAATTTAACTCTGTCCCACACTACATTAACATCCCCTTCTAAATCCTCAAAAATACATTTTTTCCTCTCTTGCCAAATAGCCCAAGTGATGGAGAGTGTTGCTAGTTGGACTTATCAGTGTTGGATTTCATATAATATTATATATGCTGACAATACACACGATTCTCCTCTGCATCTGTATTTTACTTAACATCTGCTTTCCAGTGTTGTGAAGGGGAAGCATTCAAATCCAATGTTTGATGTTATGTTACAGTACTTGCCATGTCTTTACCCTTCACTTGGAGGCAAGAATTTATAGGATTTATGTGAAGAACAATATCTTTTCTTGTATAACTTATTCCATTAACTTTACCCTCCAGATAGCTTTTGGATATACTGAAATGTTAACATTATTCTAATGTAATCAGGAGCCTGGCGAAGCCCACTAATAAAATCTGCTATTCATATTTTGCTAAAGCTTTTTCTGGCATGGTTTCAATAGTTTAATTGTATTATGTTAATACTTACATAAATTCCCTCTGTTTAATAGGTTAATAAAATACGATTGCAATTTTATTTTTTTCTTTCTCTGTCCTCAGAAATTCATCCTTGGTGGAAGGTTAGTATTTGGGCCAGATGCAAGGTCACTGCTTGTCACTTTATTGCTGATTATAGTGCCAGTGATAATCTTTTGTGCGTTTGTTGCGAGACATCTTCGGCACGAATTTTCGCCAGTAAATTCGGGATATGCGATTCTCGTGGTGGCAATTGTTTTTACTATCTATGTTAGTCCTCTTGACTTTATATCTATATCAATGTTTGAGTTCCTCAATGCATCATGAAAGATCATGTACTTGAGCGTGTCCATATCCACTTGGTGATAAGAAATTTCATATTCCTGTTAACAAGAATTTGAATCTATTAGGATCTGCGTCCAATTCCACAACAAAAAAGGCATAACTATTGCAGTTAACAGGGTTTCACTTTATTATTTTCTATTGGTTTAAATCATTCATTATCCTCTATAACTTTGAAGAATATTTACCCTCTGCCAAGAAGTGTAGTTGATGCTGTTATAAATTTGCACAAAGTCCTTACATTTGGTTGTACATTACTGTCATATTTTATGGTTAAACTTTAGTGTGTGTGTGTGTGTGTTTTCTTTGTCTTTGTCTTTTTTTTTTTTTTGATAAGTTGTTTTCATAATTGTGTTGAAAAAGATCTCTGTTAGTCTAAAGTCTAAACTTCTATAAATGAAATAAAGCCTGAATTTCCACTAATTTTTTTCCCCCTCTTATTAGTTAGTGTCTGCCAACATTTTAGTCCATGGACACCTAAGTTTTGGAATGTATAAGTGTTGAGGGTGAAGAATGATTTTAGTTGGTCTTGTCTTCTGGTGGCATCCGGCCTAAGCATGAAATTGTGTACTTTTACAAAATCAAATATTTTTATGTTGTCTTCCTTGGAATTTCCATTTCCATTTTCTTTCTCATTATGTTAGTTTTACATAGCTTTTGATTAACTTCTTGTTTATTGATTTGTTTATTATTATCCTAGTATTTTCTATGATTTGATTCGATAGTTGATGTTTATAGGTGTTGGTGCTTCTTTTTCATACTTCAGCCCGGGACCCAGGAATTATCCCACGTAACTCACATCCACCGGAGGAAGAGTTTCGTTACGACTCTTCTGTTTCAAATGAGATTGGGGGAAGGCAAACTCCAAGTCTTCAGTTTCCTCGGACGAAAGAAGTGATAGTCAATGGTCTTCCTGTGAGGGTGAAATATTGCGAGACTTGTATGCTATACCGTCCTCCACGTTGCTCCCATTGTTCCATTTGCAACAATTGTGTGGAACGTTTTGATCATCATTGCCCTTGGGTGGGTCAATGCATTGGATTGGTATGCTGCTCACATTATTTATGCCTGCTCCATTATATTCTTTGAGTTTTGATTGCTGCTTTTAGTAAGCGGTTTAGATTAGATATCTAACTGCCTATGTATATGTGCAGCGGAACTATCGTTACTTCTTTCTGTTCGTTTCTTCTTCGACTCTTCTTTGCATCTATGTTTTTGCCTTATCAGCTTTGTACATCAAGGTTCTGATGGGCGATAATAAGAGCACGGTTTGGAAGGCAATGAAAGAATCTCCTGCATCTGTTATACTAATGGCTTATTGTTTCATTTCACTTTGGTTTGTTGGTGGATTAACTGGATTCCATCTGTACCTTATCGGTACAAACCAGGTTAGTTAAACTTCTTATTTCTGTATTTTTTGGGTTAGCTTGAGGTCCACTAGTCATTTGATGACTGCGAAAGACAGATTTGCTTTTAAAAAGTAGATGATTCAGTAGTGGGCGTATTCGAATTTTCGGTGCTTTCTGTTAGAAAAACTCGACTAACCAGTAGGGCATCTCATGAACTAAAGTCAGAACCAAGTAAAGAAACTCATTTAAAGAACTTGTTGCCAGCTAACATGGAAGGATTTATATGCCCTTGAAGCAAAGGTATTCATGATCTACGTGCTAAAATGTTGGAAATTTGGAGTTAGAATAACTGCTATTAGCCTTGATATAGCCGCTTAATTGCTTCCTTTACCAGTTATTATTGAAACCTTTAATATGGTTAATTCGTAGAACTGCTTAATCAATTACGCTTTTGCTGTGGCTACATGCAAGTTAATGGACGATTTGGATTCACTTTTGAGGATAGTTGACTATTCTGTTTCATTTAGGTTTTGTTCCTTGTGTCATTTTGGTTAATTTTGCCTTTTGTTTTCCAGACTACATATGAAAATTTCCGATACAGAGCTGACAACAGGATCAATGTCTACAATCGGGGCTGTTTGAACAATTTTCTCGAAGTATTCTGTACAAAAGTAAAACCCTCGAGGAATAACTTTCGGGCTTTTGTCCAAGAGGAGGTACAAAAGCCACTGCCTCTGCCCTCTCCGCGGGAAGCAGAACCAGACGATATGGCCGGAGATCCACGCTCAAAGGTGGAAGACGATTTAGAGATTGGCGAAGATCTTTTGAAGATCTCCCAACGTCGTAATTTTGAAGAAATTGACGAGGACATACGTAGCAGAGGTAGCAATGGACCACCCCATAACACCTCAGAGGTTGACTCCGTTTTGGGCGCCGACCATCGGGCTCCAACAATACGGTCAGAAACTCGCCACTCGAGTTGGGAAAGAAGAGGTAGCTGGGAAATCGCACAGGAGGTCCTCGCTAATGCTAATAACGTGACCGAAAGCAGAAGCTACGTTACTCCAAAGGATGCCCGGCAATGATTAGTGGATTGCATATTTGATCTTAGCACGGCGTCTAATGTGGGTGGTGCGAGATTATTTTGATATATTCCTTATTCTGGAATAGGAAGGGCAATTTCCATTGACCAGAAACTTACAATTAATGGCAAGGGGAGTCTGATGTAGGATCCTTTAGGTATGAAAACATCATCTCATATTTCCATTTTTTTTTTTTGGGTTGGAATGCTTGCTCTTCTATTTTCTTTTTTGATGAATAGAATGCGTGTTTGTAATTGCTTGCGAAGGTAAGGGGATAGTGTTTTTTTCCCCTTTTTTATTTTTACATTCCATTACTTCCTCTTTCGATATTGTGTAACAATTTGCTACTGTAAAATTGAAAATCTTGTGATGGCTTTATTTTGTGTGTGTAAATTAATCAGTACTTGGGACCCTCCCAAAAGTGCATTTCCCACAAATTCACACATATCTATCTCTATTAAAATGTAGCCTTCAATTTTTTTTTTTGTTTCAACAAAAAAAAAAAAAATGTATATATATGGACTACTTTTGTCTATCTCTATTAAAATGTGGAATGAACTATGGATTACTTTTGTCATAAGTGATGTTTGGTTAGGGAATTTATACTCTGATATGAATCATAATTTATAGTTCGTTACAATATTTTCTCTTAAAAAAATACACATAAATAAAAAATAATTTTACTCTCATAATTTTAATTTATGAACCAAACGTTTCCTCATAGCTCAAGGTTTTATTGAAGCTTCCGATCACAAAATTCATATTGTACCTTCCTATACTTATCCAATGAGATCAATCCACCTGGGGTGTGTCCAACCTCTTGCTTTTCTTGTGTGTCTAGAATACTGTGGCTGCAAAAAGTGGGCAATGGGCATCAGAAAACGACATCAGAGAAGCGTGTATGTGGGGAAAGCGACATTACATCAGTAATGATAAATGATGTTGTACGACTATCTAATGAAAAGAAAAGATAAAACATTACTAACAATAATAATCATAACAAAATTTGCATCACCATTTAACTGTTTTGCCGAACAGAACGACAAAATGAAATTGTTTTTCTCCTCTCATAGTCCTTTTTCTTAAAGTTAGATCTGGTTGGAGATCGTTTCCTAGTATATCTAATTTGTTACAAAAGGACTTGTTAGTTGTCAATTGACCCCATCCTGCTGACATGGATTCTCTAAGAATCTCATTTCTTTATTTCTAATTCATCTTAAAAGTCTTAGATTTGTAAAAAAAAAATATTTTACTTGTAGGAAGAATCAAGTCAAGGTTGGATGGAATACATAATTATCAAAAAGTTCAATATCTCATTGGGATTGCTATATCCTATATATCTTGTTTCATAGCACTAAAAACATACAGAACAGATTCTCTTTTTCCTTTTCATATTTCTTATTAGAAGGCAATGCTATTAATTACAAATTTCCTGCCTTTTCTTATATCATATTTGCATATCTGACAAGATGTGAAATTTTTTAATCAACAATGCAAATACCCCCGTATAAGATTCAGAGACAAGCTCATCAAAAACCTTATAAACTCATTCTAGCCAAAACCACATTTAATATTTTTATCCACTTCTAGCCAAAATCAACAGCACTCTTCTCTTTCATCAACAAAGGCAGATACCAACTTGGTGGACAGTATCTGCAAGGAGACCGTAAACTACACCAAGTGCTTGGAAGCTTTCGAATCCGATCCGCGATCAAAAAACGCAAACGATCTCCTATTTTTTTCGCTGATTCGAGTTTAGAATTTGAGTTTTGCTACAGTAAAAAGCTCTAAAAAACAGTTACATCTAACTACAGTAAAAAGTTCTCACACAACATCACATCTCAACTCGAATTAAAAACTCGAATTAGCGAACCAAACGTGTCCCTGATCTTGCCAAGTCAGCCCTTGAGTTGGCAATATCAAATGCAAAAGACAGCGAAGACTCCATCAACAGCATGATCAAGAGCATGGATGGACCTGTCCGACAAGTGCTTCAAAACTGTGCGTTTTGGTACAAAGCTGTCGTTGGCTCGTTCACAAGTGCACTTCTTGAACTCGAAGAAGACGTCATGTCCGCCAACTACGACGTCAAAATCGCCGCCGACGATGCGGATTTCTGTGAAAATACATGGCATTGAAGAAAATTGAAATTCCATCTCTATCGGTTAGAAATTATCAAGTGAAGTTATACAGTGACATTGGAGATGTAATTACCAGCAAACTTTAATAATGGTTTAAAGATGTGAAGCCTCATTTCTTTACTAATAAGAATAAATTCCATTCGTGTATAATTTATGTTGTGCTTTTTGATTTTAGGCCTAGCTTGAAAGATTTATAATAAATATAACTGTTATGTAATATTTTGTATACCAATCCTTTTAACAAATACCTTGACATATATATTATTATATTTACCAATTACCAAATTAATGAATGTTTGTGATGTCCACTTGTTTAAGTCATATAGAGTGAAGAACACGAATATTAATTAGACATAAGGTCACTTTCAAAAAAAAAAAAAAAAAGAACATTAGGTAAGTTTGAGGACAACTAAATACTAAAATAGTATTCCTTGGCCTAAGACTTCTTGGTCTAGTGGCATTAGGGTTTGGAGAGTGATTGTAGGTTCAATCCCGTGTTGTATAAAAAAAATAGCATTCCTTGTACTATCAAGCATAAATCTTCCTAAAAATAAACGTACATTATCCACATAAATAAGTTTATAAATAGTATTTGCAACTAACGAGATCTGTAGGATAGGAGGCTACTGACAAGATCTGAGCTGTGCAAGGAGGAGACCATTGCTATCTGACAATTTTGTGCCGTGTTCTTTTTACAACTCAAGTCACAACTTAAGTTTTATTGTTATAGTGTTTTCTCTCACAAATATTTAAATTTAATATTTTTACTACAATGTTTTTTTCTCACCTACACAACTCAAATTCTTAACTTAAATTGTGAAACAAACATACCCATCGATTTTTGCGGTTTTTTTTTTGTTTTAATTTCCCTTTGGTAATCCGTTATTATGGTATCGAATTATGTGTTTTTTTTATTATTTTTATTTTGTAATCTGGCAATTTGATACGGAGTTTTTTGTATTTTTTTTCCTTTGCAAATTTGGTGTTTTTTCTATTGATTTCTTGAATTGATCTCGTAGATTACTGGTGTTAATCTACCAGAGGACCAGTGGTGTGTGTTGTTTTTTGGAATTAATCCGGTAGATTACTAATTTCAATCTACCAGATTACTTTGGCGGCCGGCTGCCAGGTAGTTTTCAATTTTAAACAGAAATTATTTTTGAAAATGCGTTTAGTAGTTTTATCAAAAGATTATTTTCAGTATAAAAAAACTCATTAATGTCTCTCTTTTTCTCTCTCTGCTCGAGAGAGGAGAAAATGAAAATAAAAAATAAAAAACAACTAAAAGTCGTTTTTCATTTCTCTCATATATTACACTAAACCAAAAAATCATTTTCATATTCGTTTTCTATCTTTAATTATGTGAAACGCCGTTTAAAATCATTTTTATTTTTTTCTCAAAAAACGTGAAAAACCGAAAACAACAACAATTCCAAGCAAGGCAATTATTTTTCCCATGTGGCCTTATAGTACTTCAATTAGACGTGATAAAAATTTACTACTTTTAACCCTATTCTTCTTGCTGTTTCTCTCTTCATCTTCACTTACCAGATGCATGGAAGCTCTAGGATCCGATCCCCGAACTATATCGGCGAAGAGTCTCAAAGAACTTGCTAAAGTATCTCTTCAGTAATGCAAAAGAGAGCTTTCGTATTCATCAAACAAATGCTCAAGAAGAACAACACGAGTAATTCACCGGTACTTAAAAACACTGTGCTTCTTGCTATGAAGCAGTCGTTGCATCGTTCAAAAGCGAAACAAGATGCCATGGCGGCAAACTACGACGTCAAAACGGCCGGTGACGACGCTGATTACTGTGAAAAAGAGTTGGCTTCCAAGAGCATTAATCTTCCATCCATGTCCGACCGGAACTATCAAGTTTAATTATATAGTAGCATTGGAGATGCTCTCACCAAAAAGCTTTGATTTTCAAATACAGATTCTGTTCATGTTTTTTTTTTTTTTTTTTTTTAAATATTGTTTGTCAGAAAATATTCATACCTTGTTTAATTTACCACGAGGAATTTCCTTATTAACGCTTTGTTTTTGTAACTACGCTTAAGTTTGTCTATTCTCAGTTGTTTTTATTTATTTATTTAATTTAAGGAGACGATATGAATGGATGGCGGTTTTAAAACAATGGGCCTTATATTTATTAGAATTCCTAATTTGGCGGGATTTGAGATATTGAAGACTCGTTAGATGAAGATCATTACAGACCAAAGATTCAGCGCGATAGATTGTTAGATTTGACCCGAAAGAGCTACGATTTGACATACGATGACATTAAAATTCTGGGGAGCTTTGCTTATCGATTTACTTTGACGAAATAAATGGTTTCTAATTTCTTTTTTCTTTTCAATCGTTTACAAAAATGTACAGTGAAAGATGTAAAATAGTTTTTCTTTTTTTAGAAAACTATTTTCTTAGGCCTGTTTACTTCGCAGATTCGAGTTTTCAATTCAAGTTGAGATGTGATATTTTCTGAGAGCTTTTCACTGTAATAAAAAAAATTAGATGTGACATTTTCTGAGAATTTTTTATTATAAAAATTTAAAACTGAAAATTTAAATTGGTGAAATGAACGAGAAAGTTACGTAGAGTTAAAAGTTTAGGCTATACCAAACAGGCCATACTTGAGCTTTTTTAGCCCAGTTTTAGCATGTTCATCGTGAATTCTCAGCGAGATTTTGAGCCCAATTTACCGTCCTGCTAAGAGCTTTTTTTTTCCTTATAAAAAAGCAGGCCGGTCCAAACATTAAAGTCGGGCTGGACGACCTTCGTTATTTTAGTGTCAGACTGATCGGATTAATATAAAGTAGGGCCGGATCAGGAATTTTCTAAATGTGGCTGGAACTTTCTAAACTCTTAAAGTTATGACTGAAAAAAGTTATTAAAGAGAAAATTTCCTTTTTACTCTTTTGCTTCTTCAGGAATTAGGCAAAGATGGGAAAGTTTTGAGGAAGTCAAAGAAGCATCAAAATCTCATAGCAAACTCAATACTAACACCACACAATGATTCTCTAAGCGGCATCACAGTAAACATGTGTTGGCAAAAGAGGCGTGGGAAAGCCAGTAACTGCTGAATGAAAAGGAAATCAATGTGTCCAATATTTGTTTGCGTAGATGTCCTAAGATATACTGAAGCACTGATACAGTTTATTCTTGAGCAGATTAGTTATTTGATCTTGCCTCTCCTCTCAATGGAATTAATTTTTTTTTTTTTTTTTTTTTTTTTTGATTCCGTATAAAATTTAACTAACCAAAAGAGAGTAGCATTGTGTAGTG